ATTACTAAAATTCAAAAAATATTAACACTTACTTGAACTGTTATGTCCAATAATCTCAAAAATATGGCTGTACCATTTAACTTTCAAAATCAATAATATATTTCTAATTATCAAAGTTCAAAACATTTGGACCAACTAGAAATTCATAAAAATAAAAGACTAATGAAGTCTCATCATTAAATTTTACTGTGAAATACACAAGTTTATCTCTATTTTTGACTAATAAAGTCCCTGGAAAAAAACTATTGAACTAATAAAGTTCAACTTCAAACCAAAAATTTGTTTGAATGAAACTAACACAACTATTTTGAGTGAAGAGGTTATGTATATAAAATTTTCAAAAAAATGTTATCATTAATCCCTGTAAAATGTATACTGAATTCACAAACCTATCTCAGCTCATTTGCTTTACAGAGAAAAAGAATGCCTATTCACAATAATTAATAGTGTTAAATAAACACAGTTGGTAAAAATTACCACACAATATACCTTAAAGGTATCGAAAAATGTTTGTACCTACTTATTCATCAAAGTTCAACGCTCAAATATTAAATTTATTTTAATACAAAAACAAATTTTACCTAACTGATAAGTATAAAAAGTTTTACTTAATAACTGTCAAAATAAATTTACCTAATAACTGATATACCTTCATAGGCTATAATTTCCCTTAGGTCTGTTACAACGAAATATAGTTGAAAGAAAAAAAAATTGCATAACAATTTTCTATGTTGGCACCAAGTTAACACAACAAATTTCTAGATCGGCCACACTAGTTGTAATGACAAATTTCTAAATCAGCCCCACGTTGGGCGCCAAATTTCTATAACTCCTACTTGCTGTCCTTAGTAGGGGTTAGAAATATGCACAGTTCGACAAGTCTAATTTGTTACTAAAGTGTTCTTGTCAGGGGATAGAATCTATGCAAACTCATCCCTTTGCAAACTGTGTCCTGGCTAGTCGTCGTCGTAGAGCAGTGGATAATGGGGGGATTCTGTTAATCTTACCTTGTACCAGACCTAAAGATGTATTGGACGCCACCCTATTTTTTATACAAAAACTATAGGGAAAAAAAATATATAAAAATCATTAAATTCCTAACTTCAAAGAAGATCCTGTTGTATTAAAACTATTGAAGAAATAAAAAGCTAAATAAAATTTTTTTATCTTTATTCTCTGGTTGAGTTCTTTAAATCAGTCAATGTTAAACAAAGAAAAAATTGTTTTTATGTAGTCAGACATCAGAGTAACCATAATAATAGCTGACTGAGCTGGCACGGATCATAAATATAATGTCTCATTTATTGACAACAAAACATCCCGGTCAAGATCATGAGCACTTCCAAAATTAATAGTTTACATTACAGATGTTGATGAAATTATTTAAAGATCTGTTATAAAATTAGACAATACAATAGTAACAAATTTATATGTTAAAATTTGGTAGTAACAAATTTATATTTGATAAAATATGGATAAACTGTGGAGCCCTATGAAGATATACCAGTTAATATCACCCAAAATGTATTCATTAAATCATTACTAAAAAAAGTGTTTCAAAATTTAAATTTAAAGAAAAGTCTCTCAAAATACATATTTTAATTTTCACCATAAATACCTTTGTGTGAACTTTACATGAAACTTCAGCTTGAAAACGGGACTTTCCCAAATACAGGCTGATGCTGAAGGAAAAGCCTTAACAAAATTCCAGATGAATCCTTATTCAACAAGAGCACAGAACCGGCTACCCTGGACAAAGTGTTATCTCAAATTGACAGGATTCTTGGAGAAAAGAAAATTGTTAGACCGCTTCTAACCTCATGGAAGTTGTCTTTGATCCCTTATACTGTATCCCAATGTGAATTGTGTGAATGTATGTAAAAAACTGCATCCACCAGTGTGAATTCTACTGCTTACATCAGCATTTTGCAACAAAAAAACTAGATTTTACTAGTTAATTCTGGATAAGGCCAGACGCCTAAACACATGTCAGCTAAGGCGGCAAAAAATGCAAAATTCCCTTCTGGTTGTTTTATTTTTCTTTTTTTTTTGTTCTTACAAACCCCTTGATTTAAAGGAAACCAAAATTCGACTTTCCTCTACGAAAGCGTATATCAGAAAAGCCAGAATTATTCAGATGTCAAAAATATATCGACAACTGACAGAAAATAAATTACCATACCCATAGAACTTCGTTCTCCATAGATACACACTGAGTAAACTGATTTATGGGATAAGATTGTTATACTAAACACATTACTGGGTTATAATTAACTGGTTGCATACCTAATAGGAACTCATTTAGAATTAAAATTATTTGAATTAATGTGGACAATTATTAACTATTTAAATATTTATTTTAACAAATGAGCTGAGATATATTTAATCAAAAAAAATTACATTGTACGTGAAATGGACATTTTTCACGTTACAATAGGAGAGAAATCATTATTTGTAGAAAGAAGTAGGGTGCCACCATGAGTTGAACTCGAACGATTAATATACCGCAATACCTAGCAATTGTGGTATATTTTTTTTATAAAAAAGACTCGTATTATTTCATTGAAGTATAGGACATTAGTAGACCAATAAGAAAATAGTTTGAGCATTTGAACAAGTCAAGTCAAGAAACAAGTCCAAATTTGTAATCCCAAAATATATTTATTATCTATATTCTTATCTTATCTAAACAGCTAAAGTGAAAGTAGGATCTAAATTGACCAATAAAATTGAGATCAAGAAAGGGGTACGACAGGGCTGTACCTTGTCTCCTATTCTCTTTAATATATACTCAGAAGAAGTATTTAAGACAGCGCTGTAGGAAAGCACAGAAGGCATAAAGATAAATGTAGAAATAATTAATAACATAAGGTATGCTGATGACACTGTGATTCTAGCAAGTAGCATGGAGGAACTGAGTTGCCTCTGAGTTGTAAGTAAGCAAAACACAACAACCATTACAGCAACTGATATTAGACAATGAAAGAATTGAACACATAGATTCGTACATCTACTTGGAAACAACAGTTAACTCAAATTGGGATCAAGCGAAGGAAATACGTATAAGAGTAGAAAAGGCAAGAGCATCGTTCACTAGCATGAAGCAAATTTTCACCTCTAAAAGCCTCACCCTACCTCTTAAAATTCACTTCTGAAATGTTATGTATTCCCGGTTTTGTTATTTGGAATGGAGGCGTGGACAATGACCACAACATTGATGAAAAAAGTAGAGGCCTTCGAAATGTGGGCTTACCGACGTATATTACGTATATCCTGGACTGAGCATGTGACCAACGAAGAGGTACTACGCCGGATAGGTAAAGAGGAAGAGGTAGGAATAAGTATAAAGAAAAGAAAGTTGGAATACTTGGGTCACGTTATGAGACATAATAAATATAGAGTACTACAGCTGATCGTTCAAAGGAAAATAGACAGCAGAAGGGGTCCATAGAGGAGAAGACACTCGTGGCTCCAAAACTTGCGACAATGGTTCGGATTGTCATCTGCTGAACTATTCAGGTCTGCCGTAAACAAAGTCAGAATAGTCATGTTGATTGCCAACGTTCGGAACGGACAAGGCACATGAAGAAATATCTTATCTTTCCATTTTCTTATTCGAGCTTTAGGTAAAAGTGCTTTCTCAGTTTTTTGAGAAGCATATCTATTTGTATCGTTGACTGTCATAGTAAAAAGACTTGGTAAAAATCTATTGGTTTTTTCTCTCGTATATTTTCCATAGTAAAAGTCTATTGGTAATAAACCGGAATGTTTTCAAACTGCCATCTGTGATTGCACTCGATTCTCCAAGTATTTCGTCAGACGAAGAACCGCTGCTCCATTGTAAGTTCCTTATAACGTCCACAGTGGTCTCATCAATATGAGAGGAATGACTTGTACGTTGACCTAGCACGTCGTCTTACTTGCTGGTTTCATTTACCATCCGCTGTTGGTCTGCTATTTTCGAAGCCAAACAAATGTCTTTCTTTGTACGACTTACTTTTTTTTTCTTCCTTACAGGCGAGGAATAGTCAAAAGAAAAGGTATCAGTATTTACATAACTTTCCGATGAATATCCGAATGTTATTATCCGAAGAATGATTTGAAATGATGAAAGAACTGGACGTAGAAGCTGGAAAGATAGGCCTTAATATGAATTACAGCAAGACCAAAACCATAACAAATACAGATGAAGACATCACAATGAGAATCGGACAAGATGAAATAGAACAAGTTCAGGATTATATATATCTTGGTAAAACTATAAAACTTAACAAAGAGAACCAAACAGCAGAGGTAAAGAGACGAGTTAGACTGGCATTGGCGGCATTTGGCAAACTAAGCTACATTCTTTAAAACAAAAGATATTCACAGCATCTTAAGACCAAAGTATACAATCAATGCGTACTCTCTGTTCTTACTTATGGTTCCCAAACGTGGATATTTACAAAAGCAAACATGGACAAAATCATAAAAATCCAAAGAGCAATGGAAAGACAAATGTTGCACATAAGACTAATGGATAAAAAGAGAAACGAGTGGATAAGAGAGAAAACAAAAGTGAGGGATGTTCGACAAGAAGTTGCAAAATTGAAATGGAGATTTGCCGGACACAATATAAGACAAAAAGAAGACCGATGGAACAAAATTCTTATAAGTTGGAGACCGTGGAAATATAAACGAAGCAGAGGAAGGCCTCACATGAGATGGGCAGATGATATCAAGAAGCACGTGGGCTCTAGGTGGATGACAGTAGCGACAGACAAAGAAGAATGGAAAAGGATTGGGGAGGCCTATGTCCAAAGATGGACCGAAGAAGGCTAATTAGATAGATAGATAGATTTTATTTGACAAAATTTCGAATATAATTTTCTCGAATTGAAGTTGTTTTTTCTCGTATTCATCCATTTTAGAGGCACAATTTATTGCAGTTACGCAGACAACAGGTTTAGTACTTCCTGGGGTTCAATATTAAAAGAAAAAATAAAAAAATATTTATTTTGTGGATTTATTAAATCTTAAGCTAACACACAAAATATATCCTCATGATGTATCCATAATATTATTAAGTTCGGATTTAATTGCTTCAGCCGCTTCGTGCATTTCCAAGCCTTCCAAAATATACAAGAGGTTTTCTAATGTGGCATCTTCATCATCCTCAAACCATAACTTTAATAAGTTTCTTGCCTGATCAACTGGAGTGGGATTCTCGTTCTTGAAAAATTCTATTTCGTCAGGTTTGAATCCTACAAAATTATTTAAAAATAAGATATAAAAAAAGATGTTTAAAAAAAAACTAAGAAATTTTCGCATATTTAGAAATAAGTCCATTTTAGCCATAAAACTTTATTATCCAAATATAAGCTGGTGTTTTAAAGAATTCTAAAAAACTTTTAGGTCTAATGGGGTCACAAATAGGGACGAGTATATTGCCACCAACCCTGATAGCGAAAATTTTTCAAAAATTAGATATAGGCCTTTTTGATTTGTAATACATTTTTAATGTTAAGTTTAATACTTTAATCCACTGTATAAAAATAACGATGAAACTTATCGTTTATAGGATAATTTAGTCTTAAAATTACAGATTGCTTTGGAAACACCCTGTATAATTATATATTATAAAAAAATTGTTACGAGGTCAGATACTCATTTTCAAGAATATGACTCAAGAAAATCTCGCGATAGATAATGCTTGTACTAATTGTAAATATCCTAAAATAACACGATAGTACAAAAAATATAATAATTACACAACTGAAAGGTTTAAAAAACCTACCCAATTTAACTCCTAATTTGGGCCAATCTGGAGCAATTTTCTCACTAATTAACATGATTTGGTCTGATGTAATTTGCTTTGTATCAGATCGAACGTTCTCGTCCACAAATTCCTCGTGATCAGCTGGTTTAAGATCATCGGTAGCTGGATCGGCTTCAGCCAAAATATTATCCTGTTCGTTATCGTTCTCATGTTCCTGATGAGATTCCTTTCCGGGTTTTTCATGAGCTACTTTCTTTACCATCATCTCCAAATAATTCGATAAGGGATACATAATTGTAGTACCAAAAGTGAAGAAGTGAGGACTTCTTCTAGCTAACAGTCTTAAAGCTCTCCAACCAAAATTGCTGTCTTTTAATATGCTATCATCGCCTTTTTGGTGCGCCTCAATTTGCTGGATAGAATCTGAGAAGTATTCCTCTAAAGTTGGTAAGAAATTTCGGCCTTTGCAAGCTTCTAAGTTATTTGGACAGTGGTTCCATAATTTGGTCAATTCACCGCTAAAATAAAAATTTTATTAATTTCAAAATAATTTATAACAGTTATTTATGTATCAAGGATATTAGGTAGGTGTTTATATCCTAAGAATGACAATTTTATAAAAAAATGTAGGTCCCTAATACCTAGTTTAATATTCGTATTTTATCGTAATTGAATTCAAAATATACTTATTTAAACAAAAATATCAAGAAAATGTTATAGAACTTAACAATCAATACTGTAAGGGGTTACGTTGCACCATTTTTTTGTCAATCGAAAGAAGATCTAAACTTTTTATTATCTATTGAACAGGTTGTAACATAGCTCTTATTAAAGTTATTTTTTAGCCATATTGCTTAATTAGGAGAACAAGCTAGTTTTATTAATGGTGCAAATTATACACTGGAAAAGTGATAATTTGCACCACTCGATCTTTTAATAATATTTGGTTACGAATTACTTATTGGTGCAGTTCATGGTGACCATCTAATTCAGAGTTTTTAACTTTATCAGCAATATTTGTTCCAAGAGAACCTAAGCGAATTTTTATTAAATTCGCTTTCTTCTATCTCTTACAGCTAATTTATTTCATCATCTGATGAATTCCTGTCTAGTGGAAAGTGGTCGTCCAAAACAATGTCCTTCTCTACTGTAGATAACAGAGGAAGACGCTACAGAAGACGCTAGGGGAAGATAATTTCCAGAATTCTGACAGTTCTGACAACAAATGTTCAAAATATGATAGCTCAGAAGGCAAAGAAATTACAGTGAAGTTATAACACCAGAGTAAACAAATATAAAGAGCAGGTCTATGAAATCTTTGAATTACTCTTCTTCTTCTTTTGGCATCATAACCCTGGATGGGTCTTTGCCTGTCTGGCTATGTCCTTCCATTCAGATCTCTCTTGTGCCCTTCTTCTCCATTGTCTTATGTTCATTGTTTTCAGGTCGTCTTCCACGTCATCCAACCATCTCGTTCTGGGCCTTCATTTTTTTTCGCCTTCCTATGGGCTTCCATTGTAACATTTTCTTTGTTGTTTTTGCATCGTTTTGTCTCTGCACATGTCCCAGCCATGACAGTCTTTGACTTTTCACAAATCTTACAATGTCATAACCTTCATTTAACTCATTAACCTCGTCGTTTCTCCTGATTCTCTATGTGCCATCTTCCTCTTGTACCGGGCCATATACTTTCCTCAGTATTTTTCTCTCGAATGTCCTGAGTTGGGCTTCATCTTTTTTCGTCATTACCAAAGTTTCACATCTATAGGTTACTACGGGTCTAATCAGTGTTCTGTAGATAGTCATTTTGGTTCTTTTGTATAATAATTTCGATGTCATCAATCTTTTATTAGCATAGTATGCACGATTCCCGCTGGGAATACGTGCATTAATTTCGCTACTTACGGAGTTCTTCTGATTGATTTCTGTGCCGAGATATGTAAAGGCATCCACTCGTTCGATAGTATACTTGTCTATTGTGATATTATTTTCATTGTCAGTTATTCTTTTGACTGTCATATACTTCGTTTTTGCTTCGTTTATTTTGAGACCTCTTTTTCTTGCTTCAGAAACAATTTGTTTGAACACTTCCATTAGTCGTGGCTTATTCCTACTAATGATGGCTACATCGTCTGCATATGCAGTAATTTGTACTGATTTGGTGTTTATATGGCCGGTTTATATGGTTTTTCTGATGACTGCCTCAAGAACTAGGTTGAATAGCATGGTTGATAGGGCATCTCCCTGTGTTACTCCCATGTTGATGTTAAACAGGGGAGTCAGTTCTCCATCTACTCTGACTGCAGCTTTTGAACCCTGCAACGTCATTTTTATGAGGCTGATGCATTTCTTAGGTATACCTAGATTACAAAGGTCTTCCAGCATTTTGTCTCTTTTCACACTATCAAAAGCTTGTTTAAAGTCTATATACATATTGTATAGGTCTATGTCGTATTCTAAGCTTTTTCTTGTATCGTTCTTAGTATGAATATGTTATCTGTAGTGGCTCTATTTGGTCTGAATCCATTTTGATAATCACCAATTCTATTTTCGGAGTATTCTAATAATCTATTGTAGATTATAATTTTGTATATTACATTTAGCAATGTAATTGGCCTATAATTCTGGCATTCCCTCTTATCTCCTTTTTTATATATTGGCTGTATGAGGCCAACTGTCCATTCCTCTGGCATTTGCTCCTTCGTCCATATTAATGTTATTAGGTAATGGATTCTTTTCCAGAGTTCAGATCCTCCATGCTGTAATAATTCTGCCGAAATTCCGTCCGTTCCTGTTGCTTTATTGTTTTTTAGTTTATTTATTATCTGAACTACTTCTTCATAACTCGGATTTTCGATGTGCAGTTCCGTCGTATAATATATTGTCTCGTTCTGATCATTTTCGTTGTCTGCATTGAGATTTTCTTCGAAATATTGTTTCCATCTCATTATAATTTTTTGCTTCTCTTTTAGTAGTTTTCTGTCCTTGTCTTTGAATACCGTTAGTTTTGGTCTAAATGACTGTGCTTTCTTTTATGCATTTATAGAATTTTCTGCTTTCGCGTCTGTTGTTATGCTTTACGATTTCTTGTACTTGTTTTTTCATAGCCTCTCTTTTCTTTCTTCTGCACATTCTAATCGCTTGTATTCTTTTTTCGGTATAAATCTCACTGCTATTTCTTGTGTTTCTTTGAAGTTGGTTAAGCCTAGCTTGCCTTTTTTCCTCTACTGCAGTTCTGCATTCATCATCATACCATTGTTTTTACTTAATTGTCTCCATTCCTCCTCCAATCCTCCATCCAATCTTTGAATTATAGTGCACAAGAAGTCACAAGACTGATAAGCTTGATTTAGACTGATCGAATAATCCAAAAAGAAAAGAAAAAGAGTTGGTTAATTACAGGAATGTTCAAGAAAGATCTAAAAACAAGACGAAAACAGGAAATAAGTATTGTCCACTGGACTAAAAAAAAAAGATGATGAAAAGTGCGGGGATATTGTTTCACTTGCAATGAGGATGTCGTTAAGGATAAGCGACTTTATGATCAATACAAACGATATATCGATGAATAGTGCGTTATTATTTGTTTAAAAATCAACGTGCTAAACTAAATTAAACTCTCATTTAATACCTAGTATGTCCCAAATTAAGAACATTGTGTTTCTAATAAGGTAATAAGGTCCAGAATCAACCATTTTGAAAAGAATAAAAAGTAAAAGATTTAATTTTGTTTATCATTTAACGCTTTCCAAGGAAAGTTCTTAACTTCTTTTATACCAAAGTTTTTAGTTTTACTACCAAAAATGAACCAGTAAATATTAAATGGGTGTTATTTGTTTACAATGACTTACCTTCCGATATAAAATTTTCCTTGCTCGTTTGCTTCTTTAATAATGTCTCCAATTAAGGGTTTATCTGAATCCCTTTTTCTTTCCGAAACTTCTGTTGGTTGGGGTAGTGTTTTCTTTATTTCTAAAACAGCGGAAAATTGATATATTATGGTAAGTTGAATTTTATTAAATTTGTTATATTTTTACTATTTACACCAAAAAAAAAAAAAGAAAATCCAACTAATATAGACTGTTTAAATAAAATATTAGAAATGATAAAAAAGAACAGAAACATGAATATTTAATTAAAAAATAATTTTTGGAAGCATAGCTTTCTTATTGCGGGTTACGGACGGAATTCATTGATCGATGAAACGCAACGAAACAACAGATCACTCGACCACACACTACGTGTGTGGTCGCATAAGTTAAAATACAATAAAATAGAATACATTAAAATAATAATAAAATAAAATTAAATATATTAAAATAAAATCAAACAAAATAAAATAAATCAAATTAAAATACGAAAAAGTCTTTTTACATAATTTTATTTTGTATTTTAATGAATCAAAATAATCTAATGAAAATGTGTACTTAACCATGCTAATGAGTTATAAACCAGCTAATTAATTGAACTGGTCAAAAAATAAATCCTTCTTAATATTAAAAAAAAAATCAAATCAACAAATAATATAAACAACAAGATCCAACAGCAACTATAATAACAACACTTCTTTGGAAAGATTCTTGTGGATTCTAGTGCTGGCATAGAAATCTGAAATACTTTGGTAGAACCTCTCCCAAGATTACCTTTTCGCTCTTCTTATTTCTTCTTCTTTATTATGTTCCTGTATGTATTCCAGTTCTCCAATTCTTTGGCTTTATTCGATAGCCTCTTTACTTATTTTCTTAGTTTTTTCAGTTTTCTCCTCCACCAAGGCGTCTGTCTGATATTCGTCTTGGTTTTGATTGGGCAGTTTTCCTTGTACAGTAGACTCGCGATTATCCGAGGTAATGGGGACTGTAACTATACGGGGATACGGAAAAAACTCGGTTAACACCGATATTGGTTGTACTGATAGAAAAACACGCAAATAACAATCACTGTGGTTATTTTAAGACTACAAACTAATACAGTAGTACATATAAAAGATAAAAATATTTACCATATCAATATTACTGGTTAAAAAAGTGTTTGATTGATTTTGCATAATCTTCATTCCTTTTTTTGAGGCGGCCATGTTGCGCCAACGTTGAAAATGAAGGACGTCTACTGGCGTCGATTCCTCTTGCTGCTCGATATATGCGAGGACTGCTCAAAGGCCTTCAACATATCGGAATGAGAAATCTTTTGAGTTACCTCATCTGTATCTTCTTCTTCTTCTTCATGGTTGATGTTTAGAACTAGATCGGCGATTGCATCATCTGTCAGTTTCATTTTTTCATCTCTCCATTCATCCAATGGATGACGTCTTGGTTTCCGATTGGTTGTTTAACAGGTAATTGATTGGCTAGGTTGGCTATAGTATCAACTTTATGATCATCAGTTTCTTTTTGAAGATCCAGTGTTTTGTTTTCTATCTGAAATAATTTTTTCCATGATTTTTGAATAGTGGACACTTTTACGTCGTCCCATGCAGATGCAATCCAATAGCAAACATCTTTAACCGTGATCTTCTTCAATGCGCCAATTACAATCAACACTTCATCCAGTCTGTTTAGCAGTATCTGAAGAAGCATGGATAAGACAGAAAACCAAAGTCACCGATGTGGTGCAAAAAGCATTAAAGCTGAAATGGGAACACGCTGGACATGTAGCTAGGAGCGATCTAAACAAATGGCACAGATCAATTTTAACCTGGAGACCATACCAACACAAAAGACCCAGAGGCAGACCTCCTATGATATGGACAGATGATCTGAAAAGGACTGCCGGGAAAAATTGGCTACAAGTAGCGTACAATAAAAAACAATGGAAAGGAAGACTTGAAGAGGCTTATGTTCAGATGTGGACGTGAATGGCTAGACGAAGAAGAAGAAGAATACGCCGATAATTCTCCATTGCTTCTATAACGCCTTGGTCTATGGGTTGGATGAAAGACGTCACATTGGGTGGAAGGAACACAGCTCTTATGTCACCACTAATCAATTCACTCGCGTCTGGATGGGATCGTGTGTTGTTTAATAACAAACAAAGCTTTCGCAGGCAGATTATTGTTTTTTAGGTTGGCATGAATGTCTGGTTCTTAAAAATGTGGAAAGTCCATTAATGTATTGAGTTGGTTTTTATATGTTGTAGGTAAGCAATTATCTTGAATATTTTTGAATACCCTTGGATTTTTGGAGTTTCCTATTAATTTCATTTATACATATATTTTCATTCATAATTTCAGTCTTTTGTCTGAAGTCCATCTTTAAGGATAATGTCTTGTAATTTTAAACAAAATGTTGCCGTCACGTCAGCAGAAAATGTTTCGCCTCAAATATTAAATTATCGGATGCCATATTTCTTCTTCCATGTTCGATTTCATTCCGCTTACGCTTCCAATCTCCAACAGTTACTTCTCCAACACCTAAATCTGAAGCAACCTTCTTTATTGATTCACCCTAGTCCAACCTTTTAATTGCATTCACTTTTGTTTCCAAAGATACAACTACTCTCTTCCGATTTCCACTCATATTCCACAGTGAGAACAACAACTTTCTCACACTCACAATAATCAACTTATGAAAAATTAATTATGAAACCGAAACATGAAAATTTAAATTACAGTAATTTAATTTGACAATCTAACGACAGCAAACTAATCGGTACCTTAGCTCACACTTATTAACATAGGAACTGTAGACAAAATGCGACACAGAAATTTCTGAAAATAAGGCGGTGACCAATTTCTGAGAACTCCGGCTCGACTTAACAGCGCATAACTGTTCGCATTTGTAACTCATCAGCTACTTTTACCTCGGTTAACCCAGGGGTATAATCTGAAAATTTCTTCCCTAATTCGATCATCCGCCTCTTCAATGTCTAAACATTTTTTGATATTACTAATTTTATTTCCTATATTTGCTTCCAAATCGATTCAATACCCTTTTAATTTGTGCATTTCGGATCCCTGTAGCTAATTAAGGGTGATTTAAGTAAGCTAAAGTAAGATAAAATCAAAAATTAAAATCTATTCTCACCTGGACAACTCTCATTTTTCCATGCATTCCATAACTCTTCCCTGTTCAAAATGTTCTTCACGATTTCAGCAAACTCTTCCCCATCTGGCGGCGTTTCTCTTAACAGACTATAAACTTTTTCAGTATTTGTGCTAATCCATTCTTTTTGATCATTTTTAAGCTCATGAGCATCACTAAAATAAATTATATATCAAGATAAAAAAAAAATATATAAAATAAGAATATAATAAAAGTAGTAGAATATACTAAAAACCAGAAAATTAGAATCACTGAAGATAAAAGGGGTAAGTCATTATAAACAGTTCAACAAAATAAGCTGAATTTAAAAAGGGAAACCATTTGCAAATCTAGTCTAATTACGTCAAAACACTGGACACAACGGTTAAACAACTGTCTAGAGCAGCCGTACTCAAACTGTGGTCGCGTACCACTGGTGGTACGCAAAACACTTAAAGGTGGTACTCTATAAACTGGAAGAAACGAAGAATCTTAATAAAATTTACTAACAAATGTTATCTTTTACGTTGTGCATGGCAATGCTGTGAGTTTGAAACTACAAGCGCGTAATGTCTTTTCATTGTTGGCAACACTGGAATCACGGCAAATTGTCACCGCCTTAAGCCGATAAGTGGCTTAAAAGAGACAACAGAACATCTGAAAATCCCAGTTCATCGAGGTCTATTTCAGAGCCTATACATTAGCGGTGAGGAAATATGATCCTAAATACATCAATATGGAATTTACATTCACGAATATAAATGATGAGCCAAGGCCCCAATGTGTAATCTCTTCGGGAATTCTTTCTAACCAGTGTATGTAACCTTCGCTATTAAAACGTCACTTCAATACAGAACATTTAGTGTTGGAAAATAAACCATAAACAATGAAATGTAAAATAAACAATAAAATAGATTACTTCGTTCAGAAGTTATCGGAGATGAGAGACACAAAAAAATTAATGTCGAATTTCACCGGCAGCAACCAAAAAGCGGTAGAGGCATCCTTTCTGGTGAGTTTAAGAATTGTGTGGAAAAGCACATACCATCGGTGAAGAACTAGTTCTGCCTGCCGCACAAGATATGGTAACGTGTATTTTTGTGGAGAATTCAGGTAAACAGCTTAGTATTACACCATTATCCAATGATACCATACGTCGTAGGATTCAAATAATGACATTAAATGAAGAAAAATTGGTAAACCGGATAAAAAATAGTATTTTTTTTTGTAATATAACTTGATGAGAGCACAGATGTAACAAACTATGTTCAGCCTATGGTTTATGTGCGATATTTCAAACCAAAATCGAAAAAGAGTACTTCTTTTGTGAGGCGTTAACGAAACGAGACTAGACTGGAAACAATGCGTTGGTTTCTGTTCGGGTGGTGCCCGAGCCATGACAGGAAAATACAGAGGTGTAACTGAAAAAGTAAAACTGGTTGCAGAAAATTGTACTTTTACCCATTGTAGTATCCACAGAGAAGCTTTGGTAGCAAAGCGAATACCAGATGAATTTAAACATTTTCTCCACGAAGCCGTTCAGATAGTCAATTTCATAAAATCTCGAGCCTTAAACTCGCGTTTATTTACTATGCTCTAAAATGGGAAGTGATCATATTCAGTTATTGCTATATACAGAGGTAAGATGGTTATTAAAAGGAAAAATCTTGAACAGGTTATTCGAGCTGCGTTTTGAAGTACATGTTTTTATTGGAAACCAATTTTGAACTTAGTGATCGATTAAATGACCTAAACTTAAGCTTACAAGGTAAATCACATAGTCGATTTTCTGTAAACGACACAATAAATGCTTTTATCAAGAAATGTTATATAATGAAAAATAGTGTTTCAAACAAAGACTTGTAGTCGTTTACCAATTTAGAAAATTTTGTGGTTGAGCATGAAATAAAGATTAAAGATCTTATTTTTAATATAAAACAGCATTGTCGTCAAATGCTAATTGATAGTTTTAAAGAATATTTTGACGAAGACTATGCTCAGTTTCATTGGATACATCATTTTTTTTGGATAGCATTCCTGAAACACTAAAACAAGATGAAAAAGAGTCTTTAATAGAACTATATTGCGATGGGGGTTTGAAAATGGAGTTTTCAAAATTAGAATTAGCCGAATTCTGACTGAATATTAAAAATGAATGTCCAGCCTTATCAAAAAAAGCATAGTTATGTTTACTTCCTTTTACGACCACCTACCTGTGTGAAACTGAATTTTCTGCTATGCTACAAGTGAAAAATAGATTTCGCAGTAGGCATAATCTTGATCCAAATTTACGAATGAACTAAGTATAATTGATCCTGATATCGATTCACTTGTTGTAGCTATGCAGAACAATCCTTCCCACTGAATTTTTGGACTGAGTTAGATTGAAGTTTTATTTTGTAATATTTATAATGCCCTTTTTTAAATAAATACATTTTTGCCAAAATTAGTAAATTTTATTATCTACTTTTTTAATGTGGTACGCGATTGACGCAGAATTTATATAAGTGGTACGCATAAAAAAAATTGAGAACCACTGGTCTGGAAGCTGCTTGTAAACTATATAAGAACATGCATATTAAAAAAATCTGCTGCGAGATTCAACAACATGATGACACAAATAAAACCACACTTCGACAAAGTCAGATTATCCACACGTAAATTTAAGCAGAAATCTTGGTCTATCAGAGATGGTGAAAGCAATGTACAGACGAATTTGGACAACGTTATAGAAGTCTTTATACACCAATACGGATCAGGAACACCGCGGAAATAAAGTAGGAGGATTCATTTCATTACCGTTCATGTCTTAAAGCATCTCGGCATGCGGATTCAGAATATTACATCAATTGTGCAATCAGATCTGGCACACAAGCATCTGGCCTGAGGACTGGGGAAAGGTCATAATCATACCACTACATAAGAAAGGACCAAAAAATAATTGTAATCACTATGGATTACTAATATCTCACGCCAGTAAAGTGCTCCACCGTCATCTAGAAAACTTCATAAGTTGGTAAATATCAGCTGAGCAGGTTGAATTTGTGAAGGGCAGAGGTACGAGAGAATAAATCCTTAATGTAAGAAATATAGAAAAATCCAGAGAATATCTGTCTCCGATATTTCTACGTTTTGTCGATTATACTAAGGCCTTTGATAATTTTACGTATTTTATTAAATATATCTAATGTGCAGTCTGTCATTGTCTATCATACTTCAGACAGTGATTAAGACAAATTATTTACCAGTATAGCTAAAGCTTTAAAAAAATTGACGTGCATAAATTTATTATTATTATTACGGGTGACTTTAATGGCCATTTTAATGAATTTTTTTAGATCCTACGTTATAAAATAATAGATGTCTCGATAATATCTTCTAAAATATTAATGGTAGCAAAAAACTTGTGGATCTCACTCATACATCTGACCACAGAGATATTTCCTTTCAAACAACTGACTCATCCACAAATTGTGCAACCAGAGTTTGTCATAGACCTATAACAGAGGAGCGTATCTTCAATTTGAACAAGATATTACTGAATTACAACTTTAATTTTTTATAATGATAATTTAAATATTAATTTAAAATTAAAATGCTGATCGATGTTATTAAATTCCATAAATATCTCTTTTACAGAAAAATCGAAATTATTGAATAAAAATAATCTAAACAAAAAAGTAAACTGGTTCAATGATACTTTGACAGAAATGCATGAGAGACTTCAATTTATTATAGTATTAAATAAAAACGATCCCATTGCTATACCTAAAACTACCATTATTGCATTTAGAAAATAGTACAGGAAAGCCATCAAACTTCCAAAAGTAATGAAAACGATTAATATATAAAAAATTTTGGTAATTCCCAACAAGCTATGTAGAAACTTATTAATGGTAAAGATAGTGCAAACACTCATCATGACCATGGAGCTGCGCGAAGGCGGAGTCAAAATTCACGTAAAACCAGAAAGGTTCCATTGTAAGTGGAATTATACAGTGCATAGTACAATGCGTTTCGCATGGAAGTGGGGACTAAACTAAATTTCGTCGACTGCGCCGTGGTCAGGAGTGCTTGCACTATCTCACTTCTAACGCATAAAAATAATGTGACGGACAATTCTAAATTTAAGGCAGATAGTTTTAATAACTAATACTATAACGTCTGCTCGACTGCCGAGAGAGTAATAAATGAACTTAAGGTTTCTCGGTTAACTCTTGATGACTATTTGAAGTGTAGCCAAATGTTCATGTAGTTGAAGTGTTCAGCCAATTAACTTTAGTGATGTTGACTTAGCTATTTCAGAAATAAAAAAGAATAAAAAGATCCTGATGGATTTAACAAAAAAAATTATTTAAAACCATTAAATATATAATTGTGCAAGCTCTAATAAATTTAATAAATCAATCAATATCTTACGTTTATTTGTGTTCCAAAACACAATCTACTTACGTTTTGAACCTAACAGTGGAAGTGAAATACTGAAATAGAATCAAGAACTGCAAAAATACAGATCTTCGGAAGTTTACGTCATGTAACTGTAGCTCAAGTAGTTTTTGACTGGTAAGGTATTTGGCAAAATATCCCAAATTTGAGCTGGTTTCAGCAGAGGTGCCAGAATTTACGTAGTCTAATTTTATCCCTTGGAATGTACTTAATACATTGGTGGCATGCTAAAATAAAAACAAGATAAAATTATTCTAGCACAATTACAATATACATATATATATATATATATATATATATATATATATATATATATATATATATTATTAGTGGATTTTCTTGGGCTTAGGTTCATAAAAAAATTAATTTGATACTAAGACATTTTTATATATTTTTTTCGACGTTTCGGCAGGAAATACATGCCTTTTTCAAGAAGTAATATTGACAAGCATGTAAAAATTCGGTACTAACAAGTAGACGTCACAATTAAAATAATATTAAAAACATAGGACATACCCACCAAGTCACTACATGTAAAAATGTTTACATTTTTATAGCAATAATATGGCTATATAAAGATCAACTGCAATAATATTCTCACCAACTTTTCACATAAACCTCCCTAGGCCAGCTCAGATATAGATGATGTCTATAAGCAAACGTCCACATTCCTTAAAGAACACCCTGACCTGATGGTATTAACCAGTGACAAAGGCAATGCAACAGTACTAATGATGAGAGAGCAGTATTTAAACCTGAGCCAACAACTTCTAGATGATGATAAATATTATCAGCCACTTCCCCGCAATCCCACATCAACTTGCACAAATAAAATAAATAAATTCATCACTGAACTAAAAAACAAAAAAAATCATCGATGATAAATTAGCCAAATCCCTCCATAACTATAATGGCAATGCCCCCAGGTTCTATTGTCTTCCTAAAATCCATAAGCCCCAACTGAGTATGCGTCCTATATTATCGTCAATAAACGCTCCTAACACTAATTTAGCCCAATTAACGGACATTCTTTCACAAGCATACAACTACAAGAACGATTTCAACATAGTAGACTCTTTCCAGTTCAGTGAATTTATCAATAATTATCAGTTACCAAGAGAATATGTCTTAGTAAGCTTCGACGTAGTATCCCTGTTTTCTAATCTCCCACTCTCTAGCGTCGTCACGTCACTCCGGAACCATAGGAATGAAATCCAACCACCCAGTCCAGTATCGTGGGAAACATTATCGGAATTATTAAAACTGACGTTTGACACAAATTTTCTAATATTTAATGACAAACACTATCGTCAAATTTTTGAAACTCCCATGGGATCGTCCATCTTCCCCATTCTAGTTAATTTCGTACTCGACGACCTTATCAATGTAAAGACGACCCTTTGTAAAGCGTTATGTCGACGACTTGATCCTAGCAACACCACCTGATAAGATTTTAAGCACCTTATCAGTCTTCAATAGCGTTGATCCTCACCTTCAATTTACATGTGAATTGGAGGTTGATAACAGCATATCGTTTTTGGACATGCGAATCATACGCACACATAGTAACACATTGATCACTACGTGGTACAGGAAAGAAATGGCGAGTAACCGGTTCTTAAATTACCTCTCTACACACCTAATGAGATACAAACATAACCTTGTACAAGCTCTTAGCTTTAGAGTACACACGTAGACCCATACGCGGTACAAGAGGGAATCTTTGTATTTACTCAAATCCATTCTCATTGATAACTCTTAACCCATATCCATCATCAATAGATATCTTTTCTCTAAAAGCTATGGTCATTCTATTTCGGAAGCAACCAACGGTGCAATACTAGCCTCCATATCCAATAACATACAGACGGACAATTCCCAGTTAACCCCAAAACCAGTCACAAAATATGCTTCTCTTCCCTATTTCCCACAAATTACGAACAAGCTTACTAAACTATTCAAAAACTTACCCGTCAAAATATCCCTAAAAAACACTAAAACCATTGGAAAGTTATTCTCCAAGTCCAAAACTCCACTAAGCTCGTTAGAGCACACTAATATTGTTATCAGATTCCCTGTTCTGAATGCAATTCCTGCTACATTGGCCAGACCAGTCGTTCACTTCTAGGCCGTATAACTTCACATAAAAGCGACATTAGACTTTCCAAAGCCTCTTGTGCTCTTGCACAACAAGCCATTTCCACCAAACATCACATTGACTTCTCAAACACTAAAATACTGGCGAAACAAAATAACCATCAAAAACGCTCCTTTATTGAAATGTGTGAGATCCTAAAAAACCCTTCTGCATTAAACAAAAGAACCGACATCGACAATTTGAGCCAGGTTTACCACTCTCTCATCTTACGAAATAAATAATACCATTATTTATCATTAAAAATAGCCTTATTTTCCGTTCAAAATTAACACAATCGTCCCATATCTCTAAGTTTCATTAAAACATAAATTACCAAATATATATATATATATATATATATATATATATATATATATATATATATATATATATATATATATCAAATTTTTCCGTCATACAAATCCACCCGTCCAACTAATCTTTCAATGACCCCCGTAGAAGTTCATAATTGTCTCAAACCTTGGAATTTGTTGAACATATGGCCCTTAAAAAATTTTTCGGTATCGCGTCACGTCGTTTGCGGAGATTGCAATAAATCAGTGTTTTGGTTGTCTTCATTGGATAAATAACTTTCTTTTCTGTGTCACACTGAATAAATAGTAGAATCTTGTTATTTTACAAAACGGATATTACCAATTAACTTGTTTAAAATGCCCAAAAATTTGTATAAGAAAAATAAACACATACTAGGGTTTAAGATAATCTTTGATAATTATTAAATAAAGAATACACACATGATTCTTAATGATAAACTTAAGTAATTCTCCCGTCTTAAATCGGTTCACCACCCAGGTAAAGATGCTATTTTTATGCTACATAAAGGTGAATATTATATAACTTTAGGGATTGCTAATATAAATACTTACGGAACTAAAAAGTTTCCATTGCACCTTATTGTAACACTGAATAGGGTTCCTAAAGAAATCTTGGAGTTGCCAAAACTTGCAATAAAAAGTAAAATCTATTAGATTCTTCTGTTCTCCAATTTTAATTTCAGCAATTTCATCATCAGGTGGATCAGTTCCATATTCTGTCACATTTTCCAAATTGAATTCGCTGACTATATTTAATCCTGATCTTTCAGAAAATGGAAAGAACTTGGCAAGGAATAACAGAATCTTCCCACAGAATACAGTTGCTGTGGTTCTTGAAAGCCGCCTTAAAAGATCATTACATAGACGCAGAAGATTGTTCTTGCAGCCGGAGAAAAATAGTTCCTCTTTCCAAACACTAACGTTTTGCTCTGTAAGAAAGTGAATAATGTTATTAATTCTACATGACTTTTATAATATATATATATATATATATATATATATATATATATATATATATATATATATATATATATATATATATATATACGTAAAGTATGGAATAAATTCGATGTTTTCTAAATGTCCTAAAGCCTCTTAAAAAAAATCTAAAACACGTCGATTTTTAAGTTTAATGTTCTATATACTACAACAAAATTTCATTATAAACGGTGATACACATTAAGGTGATGACGTCATCGGCTCTTTTTTTTTTAATGTAACACCCTATATTTTATGACATTTTTAGATCGATAAAAATAAGCTGATTCCAAAAAAAAAACATAATACTCGGGGTCTAATGGATATAATTTGAAAGATATGCGCTTAGAAAATAAATTATTTATTATCAATTGACCAGCAGTGACATATGGAAGTGAAACATGGACATTGGGAAAGAAAGAAATCAATAAGCTATTAGTATGGGAACGCAAAATCCTGCGAATTATATATGGTCCTTGCAGGGACAGCGTGACAAATGAATGGAGGAGCAGATACAACAATGAAATAGAGACTCTCTTCGGGAAAGGAAACATCGTAAGATACATAAAAGCCAATAGATTAAGATGGGCACGCCACGTGGTACGGAGTGATGACGACAGACTGATTAGCAATGTGTTTTGGGAAAGACCAGACGGTAGAAGATCGACAGGAAGGCCTAGAAAAAGGTGGAAAGACTCAGTCAGGAAGACCTGGAGAAGATGGAAGTAAGGCCATGGGAAATAATAGCACAGGATCGGAATCAATGGAAGGCAATAGTAAACGCGGCAAAAACTCACGAAGAGTTGTAAAAGCCAAGGATGATGATTATCAATTGCAAAAAAGTAGCTTACTACTAGTATTTAGTGAAATGTAATAATTTTTAGTAACGTTGAATAACAATTAAGTAGTATAATAATTGAATTAATTCGTGAATGTTCTGTATTACTGCTTAGAGTTAATTTGAAGTAGAAATGAATTTGAGTCTAAAGCAAAGAATTGAAATATTCATGATGATTGGGAATATAGACAAATCGCGGACTCAGATAGAAGTGTGTAATTTATTTAATGATAAACATCCAGAAAGACCCATAACGTAGACAACAGTAAGTAAGATTAAAAAGAAATTTCGAGAAACTGGTACGGTTGAAAATGCACGCAAATCAGGTCGTCTCTATGTAAATTATGATACAACATTAGATGTTCTACTTGATTTTGAAGAAGATGCGCACACTTCTGTTCGTAAGGTTAGTCGTGATCTTGATGATTGCAAAACAACGGTACACAAAGTAATAAAACTTGACAAACTTGCAAAAATGGCGCCCCTTTAGATGCACACTTGTGCAGGAATTAAACGAGGATGATCCAGATAAAAGAATACAATTTTGCGAAACAATGATGGATAACTGCCACCGAAAACCTCTTTTGGTTCAAATTTTTTTTCTGATGAGCGACATTCACATTAAATGGCGAGGTCAACCGTCAGAATTGTAGATACAGACCAAAAAAACCCCAACTGGATGCGGGAACATCATACACACTACCCGCAAAAGGTAAACGTATGGGCTGGCATTGAAAGAAATAGAAACATCGTTCCCTACTTTTTCGAAGGTAATTTAAACGGGCCAGCATATCTTCAGTTTTTAAGGGGGTATCTTGTATTTACTTTAGTTAATTTATTCCTCAGTAGAGTTAATCCTGGAGGTTTTAATGAAAGTTTATGGTTTCAACAGGATGGTGCGCCTCCGCATTATGCTGTAGATGTTCGAAGGTACCTAAATGAAATTTTTTCCGAACAGGTGGATTGGAAGACGTGGACATATTGAATGGCCTGTGAGGTCACCAGACCTCAAACCGTTGGATTATTTTAAAATATTGAAGATTTAAAAACAAGAATTCGTAAAGAAATAAACAATAAAAAAAGAAATCATACGATTTCTACCTGGCGAAATCGAATTCAAATATAAGCCGCCGTGCTTTCTAAAACTTGCGAAGCAAACAGCTTGATGAATGAATCGGCAAGAGAGTCTAAAAATTGCACTCCAAATGCCGTTCATCATCGCCTATATTCGTAGTGAATTAGATTTCTGGTATTCCAAATGAAGGAAATAAACAAAACAAAATGACGGTATTAGATTTTGATTTGATACAGAGCAGCAACAAGCCGCATATACGTATTTCGATCTCTTTAGATCTCCTCAGTACGGTATAGCTACTACTTCATATCAAACCAAAATATTTTCCCGTCGTAGATTATAGTTATTAAAAATAACTATTTACGGACGTAACTACGCCATCTAAGAACAAAAAGAGAAATCATACGATTTCTACCTGGCGAAATCGAATATTAAATATTATTAATATTAATATTAAATTATTAATAATATTAATATTAAATATACCGGCATCATTTATTTAACTTTGTATCGAGACCTGAGGATGCTTTGCATATAGTAGAAAGCGAAACCGGTCGTCAGATAGTTAAATTAAATTGATTGTGAGTAAGTCTTATTTATTATTTCTTTACCTATTTGAAATGGACTCACACAAGCAACACATTCATGATTTCAATAAAAATTAATTTTCTAAGCAAATATCTTTCAAATTATATCTGTTAGCTCCCCAGTATTATACTTTTTTGGAATCAGCTCATTTTTATCGATTTAAAAATGTCCTAAAATACAGGGTGTTGCATTTAAAAAAGAGCCGATGACGTCATCACCTTAATGTGTATCACCTTTTATAATGAAATTTTGTTGTAGAATATAGAACATTAAACTTAAAAATCGACGTATTTTAGATTTTTTTAAGTCGAATAAGGAATTTTAAATTTTTTTGTTTAGTTACACTAAAAATACAATTGTTCTTCATTTCATTCATAACAATAAACTAGATACTTTGATATTTTGTTCTTTAACGCATTTTTCCCTTTATAGCTTTATTAATGCTTAAAAATAAATTTTGTTTATTTATAAGATAAATGATACTAAAAACGTAAATCCTTACCTACAAAACTAAACATATTCTCACAAATATCTAATGTCAGAGTTTCAAATATGTCACCTAGAAGAACAACTGGCATTGTCGGTGAACTCAATCCCTTTCTACAAAGTACTATTGAAAAATCTACATAATCCCTTAAAACTGACACATCGCTTTGTTCATCCATAAGATTAAGCAATATATCTCTAAGAGTTTGATCCAGAGGAGATTTTAAATCACTTTCAGTTTTGTTCATAGATTTCAATTTTTGCTCCACCATTTCAACATTTTTAGTTTTGAACGATTTTTGTAGTACATCCTAAAAAAATTATATTATTACAATGTTTCTTTCATTAAAATAAAGTTTTCTTTTAAAAATCACAAAGTGATAACACAAAAATAAAAACAATGAAAATTTTTCATTCAGATCTTCTGATATAAATATTTTAATAGAATATACAAGAGCATAAGTCATACTTTAAATCGATATTGCTATTTTAGTAGACGCAAAAGAGAATGAGTCTAAAATCCTTAAAATATGATTGGAATGACATATTAAGAATTGTGGGTGACGTAAGGGAGATGTGGGTGATATGAATGCTGGAGTCGGCAAGATTGAATTTTTAGGAATTTTTTTGGACCCAAAATTACAGAGGGCTCACATATTAAAGACTTATGCAAAAAACTAACTAAGAAGTCTCTTTATTTTGAGAAATCTTTCAAAATGCGTTTTGGAGACTATATGTACTATTTATCACTAGATATTCCACTCACACCTTCATACTCTATCCTTGTCTAGGGTCATGTAGCTGACACCCATGAGTATTTGGTCTGCAGAGAAAGACAGTGATGGTCCTTGCTGGTTTCGGAGTTAGGGAAGCCTGCCGCCAGGCTTATGAAATATTGGGAATTCTTAAGGTCGATTCACACACATCACAGGTCACAGAACTATCAACTATCTGACAGCTGACAAACTGTTCGTCAACTGATGAGTGTGAATGCCGGCGCCATATTTGTATTAAAGAATATTTTGTATGACGGATTGTTCGATTCGGCGCAATCACTGTGACGAGATGGTGACGAGACGTGACTGATGTGTCTGAATCGACCTTTACTGTACCAGCACAGTACATTCTAAAAAACTTTTGATTCATGAAAGGAAATACCAATTTTTATAGAAGTCGCGAAGATCAGCATGGTTAGGATACTAGGCACAAACAAAATATGACACCAGCATATTGGCGTTTAAAAATGTGTCAAAATGGACCAAGGTATTGGGCAATAAAGTATTTTAATGTTCTGCCTGAAAATATTAGAACCTTTCCCGAAAAGGAATTAGAAAATTAAATTTAAAAAATTCCTTTTATTCAATTTAGGAATATTTGCAACATAATTTTAATTTTAATTTAGGTTTTCCAAATATTTGATGTGTATAAGATTTTATATTTTTAACCCTTAACCGACGTCGTGGAGTCCCTGGGACACTATTAATCCAAACGAGTGGTGTCGTACAGTACCTTCAGGTAGTAAGTAGATCTCCGTTACGCTTATGTCGCCATTACGAATAGCGGTTTCTAAAAGTAACAAAGACGATGCGAATTTTGAAGAAATTGTTGGGCGATGGCACAAAGAGGCCGATAGTGATTTTTCCGACCAAGATGGTGATGACACGCCAAACACAATAAACAGGAAGAACCAATTTTGAGTGACCATAGTTCTGACAGCGAATTTTATGCTAGCGATACTAACGATGGTCAATCGGACGAAAGTCAGAAGTCTGATGAATATTCAATGAATGAAGTGGATCCAAACAGACGATACTTTTATGGAAAAAATAGGTACAAATGGGCGTCAGTTGAACCTACTCGCTATGATAAAACAGCTGCTTCTAATTTATTGAGATTGCCTACTATCAAAGGATCTTTGACACAGATGGAACCAGTGGTGGCGTGGCTTAAAATTTTTTCTAGAGCTGTTGTTGACATTGTTGTATATTATACAAATGTCAAACTGAGAGAATATCGCGACGCAGAATTTAGAGACACCAATAATACAGAGATCAATGGATTTTTGGGCCTTCTGTTATTGACATCAGTCTTCAAGTCTAACCATGAAGACATTAACGCACTGATTGCTACTGATGGTACAGTGAGAGAAGTATTTAGAATGGCATTCTCAGCACGTAGATTTGCTGTACTGCTAATATGCCGATTTGATACACGAGAAGAAAGAGCGAACGAGATAAAACTGATCCAGCTGCCGCAATTTTCCACATTTTAAAGATATTCAACCAAAATTCTTATGTGAACTAGGTGCTAATACTACAGTATGTAGGTTTAAAATGTATATACCTTTTTTTTCGTCGTCTTTATAGAGGGGGGGTCTGGAATCTTCAAAAGACATCTTAGTCCAGGAATCCGCCTGACTAACCTTAGTGCAGGATTCGTTCTTCGTACTCACCAGACACCAGACCCTCCTAGCGGAATGGCCACTTCCGAAGCCCTACCTTTATTCATTCATACACATCCACACTCTATTGTATCCACAGTAATAGAAATGTTATATAAAAAAAATAAGAGAAGTGACTGGAATGGGTCGAAATAGACAGCAAGTACACATAAAAGACAAAAAAGGAGTACTACTAATAGATTTACCAAAGAAATTAAGACGATGGGAGGAGTACGTTAGAGAACTTTTCCAAGATGAAAGAGGTGAAATGCAGAAAATATAAGAATTAAATCCTTTAGGGAGACAGAAGATCACGATAGATGAAATCAAATATGCTATCAAAAACTCTAAAGACAATAAGGCAGCTGGATTAGATGAAATACCAGTAGAACCGTTAAAACTAGTGGAAGAGGATAACTTGGAAGTATTGGCAGATTTATTCAACACGGTGTACGATACGCGAATAATACCACAAGAGTGGGTGAAGTCAGCATTTATAACCATTCCTAAAAAACAAGCAGCAATAGAGTGCTCTGATTATCGAACACTGAGCCTCATGAGTCATACGTTAAAAGTATTGCTGAAAGTAATACATAAGAGAATATACGAAAGGCTAGAGGAGGATATTAGCGAGTTCGGGTTCCGAAATGGAATGGTTACTCGAGAAGGACTATTTCCCATCAACATATTGATTCAGCGATGTCGGGAAGTAAACGTTGATCTACACTTGTGCTTCGTTGACTACGAAAAAGCTTTCGATAAAGTAAGACATGAAAAACTAATATCAATACTTATGAACAAGCGCATTGACAGTAAAATCATAAATATAGTGCAAACATTATATTGGAATCAAAGTGATATAGTTCAAATTGATGGGCAATACTCAGAAGAAATGAAAATCTGTGGAGGAGTTAGACAGGGATGTGTTTTATCGCCACTTTTGTTCAATTGTTCAATATTGTATCGCTCAATAATATAGAAGCGGGAGTCACCGTCAACGGAAAATTAATTAACAACTTACGATATGTAGACGACACTGTGATCATAGCAACGAGTATAGAGGATCTACAAAATCTTATCGAAAGCTTGAGTATGAATAGTGCTGAGATGGGAATTACTATAAACGCTAAAAAAACGAAGTACATGCTAATTCTAAAAAGACCACAAAATATACATAACCTATTCACAATCAATGGTAACGTGATAGAACAAGTAGAAAAATATCAGTACTTGGGAACTTTTAACAATGAAACCAATGATCATACTGTAGAAATAAACAGGCGAATAGAGATTGCCAAATGTTTATGTAAAATAATTTGTTTTTTTATTAATGTAAACGCTAAAAAAATGTTTATGTAAAATAATTTGTTTTTTTATCGATGTAAACGCCGATAGCAGATTTTTCGGTTCATTCAGTTTTTATTTTCCTATAAGTATAAGTTGGTATTATTTTGGATTGTTCAACTTTTTATAATAAATATGCTTTCTTTAAATGTTTTTAACTTTCAATAACTCTAACATAACATTCAGAACACAAATTGTCAGTTTGACAACAGGGACTCTACCACATCATTTGTGTAAAATTAATTCACTACATTGGTTAAGGGTTAACATGACTAAACAGTATTGAGTATATATATATATATATATATATATATATATATATATATATATACATATATATATATATATATATATATATATATATATATATATATATATATATATATATACATATATATATAATATATATATATATATATATATATATATATATATATATATATATGAATATATGAATTGAAAAGCCAAATATATGGCATAGGAGCACAATTCGTCAACCTCCTGTGTTTGAATCAGCATCAATAGAGTGTTATGACACCATTTCAGCATCTGTGCTTCGTCAGATACTTGTATGGAATACAGAATCAAACGGGGAAAGGCCAATGAATGCCTCCTGCTTATTTCTCACTTCAAGTAGTTAGCATACAAAGATGTTTTTTAAATTAATTCATAACATCAAAATAAACTTATTTTAAAGTAAAATTGTGGCTTATTCCCAATAAAAATAGTAAATTTATTGGAAGTATGTGGTAAAGCGAGATTCCTCTACCAAACTCCTATCAACTCAACACACTAACAAATGAATACAAAAAAGTCCTAACCATAGGCAACTACCAATACGTAATTATATTACTCTAGAAAACATACTATAAAAACTGCATAAATCAACATAATCACAACTTGATCCACTAATGATCTTAAGCCCAACCCAACAGCATTATGTCTTATAGCATAAGACAATCCTTCTATATTTAACTTTAACCACACAAAACTTGGTGGACCCTCAACACTAAATATTATGTTTATATGGGATTATACCACAATTGATTGTAATGAAAATTAAATTCTTTTAATGTTTGATGTTTCGATTTCCACCCGACATTGTTAAAAAAAAGGTCATTCTAAAAATTTTGCAAAAATGTAAAACCAATAAAATTGTTAGTAAGTTATTTGACTTTGTTGGTCATATATTTTCACAGATTTTTTTTGAAAACCTTTTTAAGACTTAACAGAACATATGCGCATCTATAACACAAATGAGATAAACTATCATTTCCAATATGTGGCAATGGTGAGGTCCAAATCAATATTCAAATAATGTCATCAGTCAAATCAAATGAAATCTCAGTGAGATAAAAAGTGGTGGAAACTAGGATGCGAGAAATGTTTAACTAAAAAATCTACAATTTATTTAATATTGTTTACAAAAATATTTACACTGCATACATTTTAATTTGTAAGTCCAAAACTTATAAATTAAACTAAACTTTTATTCTAAGTCACTATCTTTATCCCTTTCTTATTCTTCTTAGTTTTAGAGGCTGAAATCTCTTCTAGGTTTATAATTAAATCATCAACAATTTTTTCAAATCAAGGTTTTGCTTTCAAATATCTGAGCACTTTTTGTATGATCACATAGTTTTTTTATTCTCTAGTTATAAATATGCAAAATACTCCTCGTAAAATTGTTGTACCTGTTTGATATTTCTTTTGGGCAAAATATTGTTTTAAAAAGCCCATATAAATTTGATGAGGTATCAATCTGGTTGGTACTGAGCAAACAAACAACACTGTGACTGTTCTTATTTAAAAACATCTGCTGTTTTTACATCTAATTTAGCATACTATCATTAAAGTACATATCAATTGGTCTCAACCACTTAATCATTTCATCTTTCCTTTTGTTCTAATTCTAATTTTATAAACATATTTTTTTCAACAGCATGTATTATAATTACGTGTTGTCCTATTGATATATGCCTTTTAAGTCCTTCACTTGATTTATCATTCCATGGAATATTGATCACAGGGGTAGTATGGATATATTGTTTATAGATATTAGTAATCTATTTTTTTTGTTATAACTTTTAATGGAACATAAATATGACAATCTTTACATAGCAAATAGTCTCGTTTTTTCCATCAAAAGCTTCCTATAAATTTTTTTATTTGGTAAAAGCCATTAAATTTGATGGCTAATGTAATCCTCTTGAGCAACCAGTTTCTTTCCTCAAAACATTTAGCATCACAAGTATAATTGAATCTATAGTGTATGTATTTAAAACAATTCTTCTTAACGAGTCATTATCGAGATTTCTTTTAGTAGTCTAATTTTTTTTAGTCCTCTTCAGAAATTCAAATGATTAACTTTTAACAATCTTTATTCTACTCTTTGTTTTTTATGTTTGGAATATTTTTTTCTGATACACCTCTAATAGCAACAACACATTTAAATGCACTACTGGAATTTGGAGCTCTCCCAATGATTTTTCTTGTAGCATAAACTTGAACAGAATCAAAATTACTTCCTGAGTTTGACAATTAAATTTATACATATTTAAACTTGAAACTCCATCTCTAACTGCATTTAATCAGGCACTTCTAATTTAAATATTAAATAATTGACGAAACAACAAGCACTGTCCGCAAACTTTCTATTTAGACAAGCGTGGGGTATCTGTCCAACACACAACTAACGGGCGCTTTTTTTCACTCACCATTGCATTCTTTGCAGATATATTTCCTTAATTATTTATTATCTTTATTAGGAATTAACCACAATTTCTTTTGGCTTTAAATGCTTTTGATTAAACATGTTTCAATTGTACACTGCTGATATTACAATAGCACACACATTTATCTTAAATCACCTAATACTTGCCTTAAATTCTGTTCGCAAAGAATCAAACGTGCAACTCATATTGATATCTATTTTACAGAAACTTTAACTTTTCATTCCTTAGAATATAATATTGGTTATAAAACAAATTAAAATACAAACTTCTTGTGTCTCCAGTACATACACCAATACATTTATTATAAAAACAATAATTGCGGTTATGTGTGCGTAGCGTACTCTCCTACTCTTCTTCTTTTCTGAATTCTTGAATGTTTTCTTTGTGTTCAGAAGAATCGCATTTGGTTCATTATCTTCCCGAACATTATTTTCATAAAATAAACTAAAAGTAAAGATAAAGACTGAGACTAAATTGGACATTATATTATTATCAATCATAATGCAGTTTTTACACAGACTAATAAACTGTACTTAGTGTTTAATTTTTTATTTTGAATTTCAAACTTTTAATACCTACCCCAATGCATCGATTAATCGGGTTGTAATTGGTGTTGCCTAACCTAAACGTTGGACAGGTTCCATAGGAACGTCAAATTTGTTTATAAATAAACGCTAACGTCTAATTTAAAGTTGGGGTGAGAGTTTCTATATTAATCGCTGTTAATTCAATAATTTACCCTCAAGGCCTTTGAAGAAGTGCTATCACTAACGCCAAAGGTGTAGATTAGTCAATATCGACATGGAAACAAAAAATAAAAATTTCTGGTGGTTAAAATCGGCCCCTAGCAGTCTTCCCGATAAAGATGAAAATAATACTGTAATTCCTAAATTAGAGCTGCCTCCTTCAGCGAATAATTTGTTCGATGATAAAAATAGTAATGTGGACTCTGATGTAGATGTAGGAAGTATTATAGAAGAGATAAATAGGGTAGCTGCTCAAAGTCCATTGGGGCCTTATGAAAAATCAATTGGCGAACGAAGTGTAGACGATCTAATTAAAGAAGCTGAAAAAATATACATGGAAAGTTCCAAAAGCTTTGAGCAGTTGAGCCAAAGAAGCAAAACATCGCAAAACCTATCTGATTTACTATCCAATCTTTCAAAAGATTCAACACCTACACCAAAAAGTGTTAGTCCATTACCAATGGATCCTGATCCTCAAGAAATAGAGATGGATAATCCTAGTGAAAGTGATGATGATTATACTGAAGACTTTTCTGAAGAGAGTAAAATAGAATCTACCAATTTGTCTCCCACCACCAATAAATTAAAGGATTTGGATTTCACCTCTAATAATAAAGAAAATATTGATGAAAACAAGGATAAGGTTAGATATAATTTATTATATATTAAGGTTGCTAACACATTAAATTCAAGACAGTTTAATTAATATACATTCTAAAATACTTTTTTATGTGATCTACTGTTTGTGAATTGTCTTGCTAGATAAAATTAAAATTTTTCTGTTGATAAATTCTTTTGAATGATGTTATCCTTTATGAATGTATTTTTTAAAACTCTTGTAGTTTCTAGTTTACTACTGGATTTATTTTTTCTATAAACTAGTGTTTATTATTTTGTGTGGTTACTGCCTTAATGCTTTATTAATTTTATTCACATTTTGTGAACTCTATTCCATACTCTCGACTACTGTATTATATATAAGTATTTGGGCGCATAGTTTATCCCTCTTTCTCTTTTAGACTCCTGTGGCCGAACAACCTTCTATCTTAGAATACAACAGTAAAAAGGTAACTAGTATGATAAAATCACAATCCCTTAGTACCTTTAGGGATCAATCTGCACCTCAAACTGGTATGGTAAAAAGTCAGTCAGATCTTGTCACATTTAATAACCACATTGTAAGCATACCTATAATGGAGGTTGAAAGAGAGCAGTATCAGGAGATAAATGAAAAATTACAGAAGTTTGAGGATGAGGAAATGAAGAAGCAAGGTATGATTCAAGATTTAGAAATGCACAACAAACTGTTAAAGCAAGAGATGGAAGGATTCAAGGTAAGATAAATTTAGATTTTGCCTTGACTACTAAATTTATAGGATATATAAGTTTAAGGAAACTTTAGATTGCTACAGTAATTTTCACTAAAATATTCAAAACCATTCATTTGTCAAGCAGTAATAGGGGAGAAGAGGGAGATTTGATCCCAATGTTACATTTTTTCAGATAACTTTTTTTATAACTGATCTAGAACCTTGATAATTTAGTGGAACATTACAAATTTATCAAAGTTTTGGGTGTAATACTGCTAATAAATAACAAGCTTTTGTAGAATCTAGTAATAGAGAAAAACTAATCATATATCCCCGTACTTCAGGAGACTTGATCCTTGTGTATGGGTGACTTGATTATACCTTCCCACATTTACTTACAATATTAAAATAAAACCAAAAATTGGATGCTGAAAACTAACTTTACTCAGTCATGACAAAACAAATAATATTAAATATAGAAACATTTTCTGGCAGAAAATTGTATTCAAAAAGTTATAAAAGTGAAAAAAAATATTGTTGAATATTGAACATTCTCAGTGATTTAGGAAAGACAAAACATCCTATGCGCTTACTGTAGCTCCTAAAAGTCGAGCTTGGTATCTTTTTTAAAATTTGGTCATGTGCGACTTCACCCATATCTTCTTTTTTGGCACTTAAAGGTTTTGTCATCTCTTTTTTGGGCAAATTTGATTTTAAAATCCTCGTTCTTTCTTCCTGCTATCTGTCCTCTGTAATGATGGACTAAGTTTCTTTTGAGGATAAAGCTTATAATTACCCAATGTTGCATACTCAATTCAAACTCGTCACCTTCTGCTTCTGATTCACATTCAGTATCTGTCTCTACTTGCATTTCATCATAGTTACTCGCTTTCTACCCATTTTTGAAGTCCTGCGCCTGGCTTTAGGATGAGGTCTGATCATTTCTGGGCTACTAAAAGTGGCAGAAGTGAAAGGCTGGTTATTGTGCTCCATTGACATTTGTTGTAGCTGATCATTTTGTGAAGTATCTCCATTTACAGGATGTGATCTAATTATTTGAGTTGTGGTAAAAGTACCAGTATAAGTAGAAGGCTGGTTTTTGTCCTCTATTAGTGTTCGTCGTTGTTGTTGATTATATGAAATTGATCCAGTGTTCTTTTCTTGGCTCCTTCCTTCCTTTTGTATTGACGTGGCATATCTATAAAATAAAAAAAAAACATTCATCTATAAGGAGTTTCTGGGAGACTTGATCCCGGGATAATATCTCCCAGATAAGAAGGAATTAAGTCTCCTCCAAGAGGCCATTTTAATATTTTAGTCTATAAAAATATGACAACAAACCAGAACTCACTGCAAACTATGCAAAACATAAACTAAATGATTATGGTGTTAAAGAAAAATTATATGAAACACTCACCTAAACAAATAGTAAAGAAAATCAACTTGGAATAATTCTGAAAACACTTCTCGGTAGGGACAAAATAATTGTAATGAACATGTGCTCTTTGTTGTGTATTCTAACGAAAACTAAATTACATGGGATCTACTGCCATACTAACAACTACTGTCTGTTGCCGGTTTTATAATTATAGGCTGCTTATTTACTGAAATTTTAAAGAGTGATCAAGTCTTCTATATGATGAAGTCTCTACATATTCTCTTCATATTCACTCCCTCTTCTTCCCTACATATTTCTGGATTTTTACTTTCATCAGATAGACCTGCTTTTCTATCTTATATGTGAAATTTGTTCTATTAGGCCAACCTCAAATAAAGTTGTTCAGGAAGCTATTAAAAAAAAAATTGGAATAGAAGAACCTGTTTTAAAATCCTATATTTAAAAATATGTCATACAGTATCTAACTAGACACATTGTGAGCCTATTAAAGAAAAATGAGTCTAAATGATTGGAGAATTTTTTAAATTGTAAACAGAAATCAAATGAACATGCTTGTCTTATCAACTGGGTTTGACCTTAAAACTGAAACATTAAATAAATTTTTTATTGTCTAAATTTGTTGCATTTTCATTCAGAAATATAATTATTTATTAAATTCCTAATAACATAGTATTATAAATTTCCAATTCAATTTTTTAATAAGAATATATAATTTTTACAGAATTGTGTAATGATTTGTCATAATAATATAATAATAATTACCATATTTGTTTCCTAATTTAAATATTACAAACAATTTTGAATGAAAAACATAGAATATTATTATTATCAGGTTTAAGCTATGCAGCTCTCATTTCCTCTGTGGGAAAAATTTCACTGATCCCTGATACCTAACGTACCAAAGGGATTGAGATCTGGTAGCTGCTTCTGTTATTATTATCCATATTTAAGCCATATGCCTTCAACTCTTTGTAAGGGGAAAATTCACTCGTACCAGATTCCTATGATATCAAAAGGATTAAGCTCTAGAGAGATCTTCCTTCTCCAGAGAGTATTATCGTCCTATGTGAACTGATATACCAGTGTATCTCCTAAAAATTTCCTTGGGTATCTGGATATTGTGGAAAATAACACTTTTTGCATGGCCTCATAGATATTGTCTCTAAGACCCAGGTACTTAATATTCTTTAGAAAATTTTTCAGAACGACACTAGAAGTAACTAGGATAATATGTAGTGATTGGATACCTTTCCATTCTCCATTGTCTTCTTATTTGTCCCTTAAGATGTCTATACTTAAAAAAAATATTCTAACATATATTCAGTGGATAGTCAGGGTAACACAGACAACGCAGACTGGTGAAGAAAGCTTGAGATGGTCGAGGCCCTTTATAATAATTGGCCACTCGATTGATCATTTATTTATTTATTTATTTTCATTTTGACTTATTATGAAAGATGTTATCCAAACAGTTTCTAACAAAGATCGCATAGTGTGCTACATCTTGTTGTAGCCTTAGATCATTCTGTTTGAGAACAACCACATTTTTCTAAGAAAGAATTTTAGGAAATGCATGTTTCAGGATTTTGTTCTAAACTTAACAATATGCATCCTTTCTTCTTGTGAAGACACACAATCCTCTGAAGGTTTAGAACACAAAAATTCATCATCAAAAATAAGTAAAACAACCTGAAATGAATTAAACTTTGGTAATATTAAGAGAAACGCAATAGAAGTACTATTACTTTATTCAGTTGAAGCAAATGTTCAATTATTACAATAATAAGGGACACAAATTTTTAGAACTTTGTAAAAATTGTAAATATATTTTGAGTAACTCTATTGTTTATTGTTTTATTCACAATATTGCCACATAATACGAAAATTAATCCATTTATTACTTTACAAGCTCCCTGATATACATTATCTCCAGATTTGAGAACATTTGTGGTATAGATAAAATAACAATGACCACTAGAACATTTTTGGAACATCCCGTATTTGTGTTTGTGTCATTTGATGCAAATCTAAATAAACATTTATAATAAAATACCAGTCAACTCTAATGTTTTTATTGACTGCAGTATTGGTTTATTAAAGACTGCTTCTGCAAAGATTCAGTCAAGGTTTTTAAATCCATCCTATATTTCGTTTTTGCCTTTTTCATGCCTTTTGAGCAGCTTCCGCTATGACCCGAACAGCTGCAAGTGCCTCTTTAGCTGTTGGATTGATGAAATTGGCCGGAAGAATAAAACCAAACCTAAAAACGAAATACTTAATTGAACGAATCTATAAAATAAAATACAAAATTTGTACAAAAGTTATGGGTGTCAACCTAAATTTTGATAATTGCAACAAAGATGTTTACATATATTATATTTCAAACTAAAACTTTAGATACAATATTTCTACAGCTTTTGCCAACCATTTCAAAGTCCTCATGGTGAGGGAGTTGAGGATTGTTATTTAACACTTGTGAAATTTTATATAAATATTTTTTTTAATCTGATATAGCTTTTACCTGGTATTTTTTAAGGTTCGTGGACTCATTTCTACTTTCTCCCTATTTTGTCTATGTTCTCTTTTTTAAATTGCCTAAGCTATAAATGAAGATGGTCATAATGTCGTGTAATTACGTGCCCTTCCTAGGATAATGGAGGCTCAGTTAACTTTGAAATTGAAAAAAAGCCAGTTAAAGTCTATGCCTTTATTGCGTAAAGCAGAATAGTGAATATGTAGTATTACATTTTGTATTTAATGATATGTTTCGGTTTGTGAAATTAAGTCTCATCCTAATGAATGCTGTTTTTACTTTTATTATTCGTTGTTTAATTTATGTTGAGTGATCCTATTGGTTATTTAGATTGGTGCCGTTATATGTACAATGCTCGACTCTTTCGATCTTTATTAATAGTTGTAAATTATCCAAATTATCCGCAAAAACTATGGTGTGATCTGCGCTTTTGATGTTATTCAAAAGTTTATTAATATTCCTTTATATGCCCCTTCTACAGCTCCCCTACAGGCACATTCAGCATAAATGTTGACATACATCCGTGTCTTATTAAAATTAGCAAACAAAAAATTATCAATTCGTATTGGAAAATATGATCGGTATGACAATTTTGATAAAACAAATAAAACAAAAATAATCTTACCTTCCATTATCTCTAAGTTCTATTGTATAAGCATATTTCATACGAATAGTTCCTTTAGCCCAATCATCGGATCCTCCTGAAGCTGGATACAACGTATTTCCTGCTGGTCCTATGGTATAGTTAGGTCCTCCAGCGTTACGAATAGCTGCAGCGGCTTTCCTAGCTACAGATTCCAAATCTTGATGATCTGGAGGGACAGCCCTATTGTAGCCCCACGGATACAGTATGTACTGACCGTAAGAATGGAACGAGATGTAAGCACGCCACTTGGCTGGAGTTCCTAAAATAAAGACATTGGTTACCGAATTTATAGGTCATTGCCTGGAATTGATTTTTCCTGATTTTACTTCTGCAATTTGGTAACGTCAAGGTCCACATTTATTTAAATTGAAACTCAAGTTGATTAAATGTTATATTGTTTAGAAAATAAAATGGGAAAATTGTTAAACTAATAATAAAACTTGATGATGATGATGATGATGATGATAGTGTGTTGGGCATACTAGTCCATTTGCCACAGATTTTTGAATGATTTATGTTATGTTTATGAATTAAAACTTGATTGTAACAAATGCATATTATATATTCGGATGCATATAAGTGATTACATATGAGTTCGTATATTGAGTTCTGATTGAATGATAGTAGGTGGGTTATGTTTAGTGGAAGTTGCACAATACTTTTAACCAAGTTTTCATAAAATGTAGATGAGAGTGCTTTATTTTTATACATCCAAATAGGATGTGATTAACATCACACTGGGAAATATTATCGCGTGAACACTTTGATTCTATAATGTTTAATCTAGCCAGGTGCGCAGGAACATCACCGTGACTAGTTTTTAATATTGTGATAGTTGCTGCTGATCGTTTAGATATATTATAATGGAATGCGTGTGGTAATTCTGTTAGGGATGGTAACGTAGGATGATTCTTGTAATAATGATTATTTGAAGTACTCGCCAATATTTTCCATCTGTCTTGCCAGTTAAATTTAATTTTTTTATTATAAAAATTAATTAGATCTGATACTGTGTATACATGTTCTTGTATACCAGAATGAGTAGAATCCTTAGCGAGCTCGTCTACTATTTCATTACCTTTTATCCCGGTGTGACTTTTTTCCCAAAGAAATGTTGAATGTTGAAATGCATATTTTGAGGTTTCTGGGCTAAAACTGATAATTGTATGGATGCCATAGAAAAAAAAACCTAAAGCGATCTTGAGAAATGAGGCGAGAAATGAAGAATAATTTTCCATTATTATGACTAATTTTACAAAATGGTGCCCATTCACTATTATTAATAATTACGTAACTGAAACTATTAAAATTATGACTCGGTGCCTTAGTTGTTATTCAACAAATTATTAATTTAAGTCTTCACTTCTCTTCAGAAAATGTGTTGGAAACACTTTAACGCACATTGTATAATGATCAGAAATCTCTTTCACAGTCTAGGAGGGAAATGGTTATACCGCCCTACCTAGGGCTTGCAATCCAGCAGCATTTTCAGTCCAGCTGGATTTTTGCAAGATTGGCCTGAATCTAGCTGGATCCAGCGCGGTTCCAGCAAAATGTGGAATCAAAATAAAAACCCGATTTTAGTGTTTTTTTGTTCATTTTTACTTAAGCTTTTTAATACAAACTAATAAAATAAAAACTCAAGATAAAAATTATCTTAGGTGTATATATAATCAAATAAGGACGTATAATCAGTCGCAATTTGCAATCAATACTACCCCACTTTAACTTAAAATGGCTAGAGCAAATGCCACAATTATCATGAGATTAAAGAAAAACTCGTACTCAGTAAGCCGTGGAAGTGAAACATAGGGCAAATGAACTAATCTGTTGTAAGAATAGTTCATTTGAAGCAAATTTCATTGATGGCAATTTTGAGCTGACACAAGTTAAGTAATATGTTTTCCTTCCATGGCTTACTAAGGACGAGTTTTTTTTATATCATGATAAAAATCAGTCTGTATTCTAAATTTCTACACAACAGAAACATGAATTATTTAGTTTTTTGGAAGTTAGATGTTAAAAAACATATTTTATCTATCGTCTTATCGCCTAACCTACTTCGCACAGATCTGCACATATAGCCGTTTACGGAGAAAGCCCTTTCGGCCTCTACGCTGGTCGGTTTTAAGGTCATCAAATAGCCATAAACCATGGACAAATGATTGCCTTTCATTCCTTCGGTTTCATAAACGGTCATTTCCTTTTTCAAAATCTTTTTGGGAACCAGTTTTTTTTTGGCTATAAAAGTTTTCTCTCTCTCGTTTCAGTTCAATCTCAAGTTCTTGTTCTAACGTAAAATTCTCGGGCTTCGGATTAGCTGGCATATCTTCTACTTTCATTGTGTTCTCTTGAACTGTTTCCACAATCACTTGTTTATTTATACGACTTAATACATTTTGTATTCTTTGCATTCTTTTTCGACATGGAGAAATAACCAGGATTGTTTAGTCCTTCGTCATACTTTTTTGGATTTTGTAAGTACACTAATGTACCTGTAATTTTAGAGAGTCGCCGCCGTTCCGCGATTTTGTTGCGTAGTGCTTCCGACAGTTCGGCACTAAGGCTAGAGTCCTGACTATTTAGTTTGTCTAAGACAAATTTCAAGGTTGTGTCGGACGTTCTCAAAATGGACTCTCTTCTGCAAAGAGCTTCTACAGCCAGTTTCACCGGTTGAAGAGTGGCGCTCATTGATTATTGACCACTCGCCAGCAGAGAATTTTATCGCAGAATCAATGTCTATCAACGCTTTATCGATGCAAACTTTGAGGCTGTAGACACCAAAATGTCTTGGAGTGACTCTGGACAGAACATTGGGTTTTAAAGAACATCTTCAAAGAACGGCAGTAAAGCTGAAAACGAGAAATAATATAGTCCAAAAGCTATGTGGCACTACATGGGGGTCATCAGCCTCCGTACTCAGATCATCCGCTCTCGGACTTGTATACTCGGTGGCTGAATATGCTTCCCCGGTATGGCTCAATAGCAAACACACAAAGATTATTGACACTCAATTAAACCAGACAATGCGAATGATCTCAGGTACAATTAGACCCATACCGAACTATTGGCTTCCCATTCTGAGTCACATTCCACCGCCGAAACTGCGAAGAAGTCATTTTCGTCTCAGAGAATATCGAAAAATTAAGGCTAACCATCAACTACCCATACACCAAGATAAGCTTGATATCGAAATAAACAGACTGCGCTCCAGATATCCTCCATTGCTAAGAGGCAACTCCTTACATCAAGAACATTTTAACTTGACCAAAGCTTGGAGAACACAATGGGAGAGCGACTCACCACAGGAAGTACATCAAATGGCCTGTATCGATCAGAAACCGCCAGGCTTTGAACTTACCCGCAATACATGGACAACGCTAAACAGAATAAGAACAAGCAGCGGTAGATGTGCTGACAGCTTATATAGATGGGAAAAAGTCCTTACTCCTGAGTGTGACTGTGGTGCGCAACGACAGACCGTCCGTCACATTGTTGAAGAATGTCCCTGAAGGCGATTCCCTGGAGTTTTCGATGAGTTCCTGAATGCGACCGAAAATGTTTTACATTATATTAATAATACATTAGATGTTCGTTTGTAATACTTCATGTAACGTTTTATATTGATTTTTTAATTGTGTGTTCTTATTGTATGCCATACGATGAATAAAATTGAGGCTGTAGAAAGGTTCCAGCATACTGTGCAAACTGTTCCACCTGGTGCGGCAGTCAATAATCAAACTTAATTCCTTGCTTTTCTCTTCCTTGACATATTTTTTCAAGAACATATCGTCTTTGATAGGCGATTTTTTGAACGTTTTAACAACTTTTCGTATTTTCATGAGTAGATCGCTGTAATGGGGAATCAATTCAACAAGACTCACCGATGTTGGTTCGATTGTTACTGTCAATCCTTTATTCATATCTGTCTCCATATCTTCATTTTCGTCTTCATATTCATCAGTGTCGTCTATTGCTGTTTGTTCTACTTCTCTTTGAGGTTTCAGCACGTCTACTACAGCCAAAGAAATTCCATGTGCATAGCATGCATAGTTGTTGAAGCATGAGCTTGTGAATTCTGATCAAACCTAGATTAAAATGTTCTGCATTGTAGACAAATAGAAGAGAGAGGGCGACGTCCTACCTGCTAGCGCGATATAATGGCAAATTTCGAATTTGACACGTTTGCAGATCCGCGCTGCTGTATCCAGCATGGCTTGCTGGATCCGGCATATAAAAAAAAACCCTGGATTTCGGAATGCTGGATCCAGCAATTGCAATCTCTAGTCCTACCGTAACGAATGTAGAGGTTTTCTAAGAGAGGCCAGGGCTTGAATTGGGCTGTAGTGCTGTAGGATGGAGATATAAGTTAACTATAACGATATTTAAATAGTCAGTAATTATCTTTTGCTCTTGGCTTAAAAATAAGTACTAGGGTTAAATATAAATACCTGTTATAAATCGTTGAATAGCTGCTGTCTCCGGTTCCGAAAATGGACCACTTCCTCCATAAGTTTCAGTACATGGATTTTTTGATGCTCCCTGTCCTCCCCATTTATAACTATAATATAAAACCAATGAAATTAATGACATAGATATGTACTATAAAAAATATATAATGATCAAACGGAATGATTTTTTATGCTATAGAGTTAATTTAATTAATACGTTGGAAGCCATTGGGAAATTAGTAAATTAACCAAAATAAAAATTTGTTACTACACATATTACGATAATAAAACTATAATTTGAATCAATAATGATAAGTCATAATGGTTTTTATGGAAACTAGGTAATTTAGTTAATACCTTAAAAACCATTTATCCCAGTCTGGTTATGCAAAAATAATCGATTTCACGGCAACTTTACTTTACCGCTTTACCGCTTTTTTAAACCTGCTCCGTTCTGATTTCGATGTCTATTTTGGTAGTGATTTCTTTAAATATTCTAGATCCGAGAAATTTATATTCTATTTTTTTTAGGAGATTTATCTCGTACTTTAAGATACTCTGTCTTTGACATATTCATATTGAGGTCCCATTTTCTGTTTTCTTTTCTTGCTTTAGTTTTCTAAACATGTAGTCCATGTCTTCCTTATCATTCGCTACGACTACCTGATCATCTGCGAAAAATAAAGTTGTTAGACATTTACCACTGCCTATGTCTATTCCCATTCTGGATACTTGTTTCCTCCACTGCTCTAGCGATGATTGAATATATATTAGGTCGGAGATAGAGAACATCCTTGTTTAAACCCCTTTGTTATTGGAAATTATTCAGATATAAAGTTTCCTTCTTTAACGACACTTCTTGCATTTTGTATATATTTGCGATAGCATCCACATACTCTCTACTGAGACCTACTTTCGTCAATGTTTAAAACAGTCTTTTTAAAGGTACTGTATCGTATGCCTTCTCTAAATCTACAATGCCTTCCGTTTTTCGATTACCTGCTGCAGAACGAATATACCATCAGTGCACGATCTTCCTGCACGAAATCCATTTTGTTCTTCTATGTCTTCGTATTCTGATTCTATTCTATCTTTTATTATTCGACCGTACAACCTCCCCACTAAGCTAACAGTTATTCCCCTGTAATTAGAGCATTTGCGTTTATCCCCTTTCTTGAATATTGAGCTGATGTATCCAACATTCCAATCATCAGGGATATTTTGTCCTTTTAAGCATAGTTAAATGAAGAAAACTTCGTCCATATAAATTGACATTTGTGCAGGAGCTAACAGAAGACGATCCGGATCGTAAAATGGATTTCTGCAAAAGAATGATGGATAAAATTAACAAATGAAATAGCTCTTGGCACAATTCTTTTTTCTGATGCATTAACATTTACATTGAATGGAGAAATAAACTGACAAAACTGTAGATATTGGTCAGCGGAGAATCCTCATTGGATGCGTGAGACACAGACTCAGTACACACACTCAGAGACAATCCTCAGATCATATTATTGATCCTATATTTATAGATGATAATTTGACAGCGGAAAAATATTTAAGCATGCTAAGAGACGATGTTCTTCCTTAGTTGGCTAACTTATATCCCAATCCAATAGATCCGACCCTACCGCATGGTCCTGTTCCAGCAGGACGGTGCAACACCCCATTATGCTTTAATGGTGAGAAATTACTTGAATGAAATCTTCTTCAATAAGTGGATTTGATGAAGGGGACTATTGAGTGGCCAGCTAGGTCACAAAAAGGAAGGATAACTACAGAAATACGGAATATTTCACCTCAAACTTTAAACAAAGTTCGGAACGAGTTTTATAGGAGACTATGTTATTGTCAACAACAAGGTGGAGAACATGTTGAGCATTTATTTTAATGTAATCCAATCAATTACCTCGGGTATTCTATGAATTCATTGTATTGAAGAAAATACCTGATTTCAAAATTTCACCTTGTATTATTCATAATAGACCCTACATGATATAGTTCGTTGAAATCAGGTTGTTAAGGAACTTTTAAAAACATGAAAATATACAGGGTTTAATTTAAAATACAGATTATGCACTATGCCAGACTTGCATTGATCACCCTGTACATTCAAAATTATGTCTAAAAAGCGTACATTTAAATTTTAAAGTTAAGGTATCTACTCGTTTTTTATTATTTTCTAAAATAAGGACACAAACAATTTTATTCCACAAGTGGTTTCCACACTGTATATTTACGTAGAACCGTAGAAGTCGTATTTGAAATGTTTGTAGTCAACACAAGAATTTTAAATACAATAGAACTCAAATAGACATACGTGACACTTTCTTACTTCGAAACTAATAATATTGTTAATCAAATATTTATATTTTATATGTATTACGTCATATTAGTTTTGTTAATTTATGTAAACATAAGCTTAAAATATTTTTATATAATTCATAGATAAACAATCACGTACGTTATTAAAAAAACATTGTGATGTCGGTGTTGGAAACCTGTTGTACTCTCCACTAATTGTTTGAGAAAAACTTATTTATTAAATTCCTTTCCTCAGAGGGTACAGTACCAAATCTTTTAGGACAATGGAACTGTTAAAGATATTCTTTCGATATAACTTAGCAGACCTCAATGCGTGGTTCAGTATGTGTTTGGTTTTTTCAGGTTGTACGTAAGAGTAAAGAATATTTTACACCACAACTACTACGAGATAAGAGAATTTGTTACTATTAAACTGGGAATAAGCCACAATTAAAGATAAAAATACGTTTATTATTTTTGAGAACGATTTCCGAAGTGGAAATTGAAACGTCAATAAACGTATTTTTATCTTTAATTGTGGCGTATTCCCAGTTTAATAGTAATTAATTTACAATGTCACAAGAAAATAGCTTCAGAACAATATTAAGAGAATTTGTCTTATAAAATTGTTCATCCATGCCTGATTTTGGATATAGCGCATTCTTTTAATTATCACCGTTCACTACAGTTTTTTGAGAGAGCACAATTACACGTTACTAAGCGACCGAAAGCCTAACTAATATGTACTTCCATTTGCGATTTTTGACTTGACACAATTTACGCTCGACCATATCTAAGGGTTGGATATACTGGCGACAATGTGTCTATAAAACAACAAGCTCATTGGAACTATAAGATAAATATTTTTTTAGACGAGAAATATGTCTGTCACATAAGATTAAAGCCGATACTTAGAAAACAAAAAATAAAATAACATGAATACAACGTGTTTTTACAACAGTCAGGTTATTAAGACGAAATCATCATGATCGGAAAGGGTGCCTTAGGCATCATCTGGTGAGATTCTACTAATCTAATTAATTAGCTTTTTCCATGTTCTTCTGTTTCTTGCTTCCTTTTTACTTCGATCAAAGTTAGTTATTATCTTTTAGTTTCTTCTCTATTGCTCTTTTCCACCTAAGAGCTGGTGTATTTTTTCTTATTTTTTTCTGGAGCCTTATAATGCCGACCATGTCTAGCAATAATAATTGTTGTTGGTTATTTTAACAAGTGTTATTTATTATTTGTTAAAGTGCTATTAAATATTTATTTACAAAATACTGTAATCTCAGAAATAGCTCCTTGTAATATTTCTATGTTTCGGTTTCATTTATTGAAATTAATTTCAAGTTCGTTTGGAAAAGACGCAGTTTTGTTTTCTTACTTTTGTTACTTGAAAGCCCAGCTCTTGTTGCCGTGGAAGTTACTCAGACGTTCTAATCCGAAAGTAGGAAGTGTTTTTAAAACCTTTTAAGATGTACAGATGCTGATATAAAAACAATATACACATAAAACATCCAAACTTTTTCATTTTTAATTAACTCTATCGATTAAATACAGGGTGTTCTATTAAAGAACCACAACTGTTACACCGTGTTAGAGAAGACTTAGTACCTCCATAATTTTAAAATGGGTAAGAGGTCTAAAACTTTTATTAACATTTTTTTATATATAGCTAGCAGGTATTTTATAATAACGTATCACTCTACAAAGATTTTGGGTGTATTCATTGATTGTAATCTCAAAAGGTCAGAGCAAGTGAATTCAGTGAACATGCAATTGAATAAAGCTTTTTATGCTATATCTAGAATTAAAAACGCACTACCCATCTCGGCAATAATGAACGTTTATTATAGCCTTGCTTACAGCCACATGTGCTATAATGTAATTTTGTGGGGGAACTCAGTAGATAGTAACAAAGTGTTCATTAACCAAAAAAAATATCCGTAAAATTTTTAATTTGGATTATTAACAGTCTTGTAAACCAGTCTTTATTAAACATCAAATTTTAACTTTCTACTGCCTATATATCTATAAATGTTTACTTTATATCAAAGAGAAAATCAATACATTTCCAGTAAATTCAGACAATCACTATTACAAAACAAGAAGTGCTGAATCTTTCTTCTTCTTCAGATGCAAATCCACTAATGGATGTTAGCGATAACATTTTCTATTAATTCTCTATTTCTTGCAATATGTATCAGAGATTGTATGTCGTTAATCCCTGTCCACTGCCTTATGTTTCGGAGCCAGGACATTTTCTTGCGTCCCATTCCTCTCTTGCCTTCAATTTTACCCTCGATTATAAGATGGAGGAACTGGTATTTTTCATTTCGCATGATGTGACCTAGATACGCCGTTTTCCTTTTCTTGATGGTTTCGAAAAGTTGGCGTTTTTGGTTTATTCTTTTAAGGACATCTATATTTATGATTTTCGCTGTCCATGGTATTTTTAGGATACGGCGATAAAGCCACATTTCGAAAGCTTCTAATCTGTTTATATCCCTCGTTTTGAGTGTCCAGCTCTCTACGCCATATAGCAGCACTGACCATACGTAGCACTTAGTAAACCTTAGTCTCAGTTGAAGATCAAACTCTGAACAAGTCAGTACTTTCTTGAATTTTACGAAATGTTGTCGAGCTTGATCAATGCGACATTTTACTTCCCTGTCCGATGCCCAGTCTTCAAAAAGCCACGATCCCAGGTATTTAAATTTACTCACTCTTTCAATGGACTTAGTATTCAGTGTTATGGTGGAGTTTTCAAGTGCATCTAAGTTTCTGGAGATGATCATAAATTTGGTCTTTTTGGTATTAATCTCTAATCCCATTCGCTTACTGTATTCTCCGATTATAGTGACAAGTTGTTGAAGATCGACTATGTTGTCACAAATTAAGACACCTGAATCTTTACGAGTTCCTAAACACAGAACATCCAAATTTCAAAATTGCTTCAGATATATGGGACTGACCTTATACAATCCTTTGCCAAAAACTGTAAAAGAAATACCACTTATCTCTAAATTTAAAAAAAATGTTAAAGATTTACTCTTAAGAAAAGCATATTATTGCTATACTATATATATATATATATATATATATATATATATATATATATATATATATATATATATATATATATATACTATATATACTATACTATATATACTATACTATAAATGAATATCTTGAGGACAAACTGCAGTAGCTTCATATTTTACTTGTAAAAATATTATTTTATATATATTTTATGTTTTGTCAATTTTTTTTACACTGTGAATATTGTATTATACACATTAATGTTTTTATACTAAATTCTGTAGTGACGTATTCTATACATTTATTTTGAATGTCTTAAAGGATCAATAAAGATGACTATGACTATGACTATTTGATTACATTTTTCCAGTTGGTTGCTGTGATCTTTGTGACTTCTCTTCTAATTAACTGGAGAACAGTAGACAAAAATTTAGGAGCCACTAAATTCATCTCCTGATATTTCCTCTAAGTTTAGCCCATATTAACTCTATTGGGTTCAATGTACAATAATATAAAGGAAATCGAAGCACGGTATGCCCATTACTGCGAACACAGTTATCAACAAAATATTACTTCTAATACTGTCTGCTATGAGCAATATCCAACGATTGCTTTTTACTATATGATCCTCAAAATACAAATCTTGCTCAAATAAAAATTCCTGAATTTGTAATTTGTTCTGAGTTATATTTGGAATATTTCTCATTCATCTTGAATGCTATGATGCGTTGTCCATGACACGCACACACTATTTAGTTAATTTCAGAAGAAGAGATTTTTCAAACCATGATTCAAAAATTGAACTTTCCATATACTCATGGTAAACTAGGGACGCGTCTTTAATTTTTTTTTTGCAGATATTAATAATACATTCTCGATCTATCCATTTTCTCCACCGCAGTGTAAAATTATAATTCTTTCTCCTTTATTGGACGGTACTGAATACAAAATACTGAACACTTTTTGTTATTATTCGTCCAACATTTTATTGCCGGTATCATGAGTATCATACCAGTTCTCATCTAAAACAATATTTCATTTTATTTTTCGATACTAAGTTATCTGTCTGATATAATTATTTCTTAAGAAATTATTCTAATACTTTCCATCAATGCTTGACGCTTGTCTAAAGTTTTGTACTTAAAATCATAGGCTTTAAGAAATAATCGAAGTGTTGTTGCTGAACATGAGAGAATGTCCTCTGGAACCAATTCACTTCGAAGTCTTTCAATAGTTGGAAAAATATTAGCGGTATACATTTCTTATCTTGTTCTGGTTATAGGTTCAATTCAAGTGCGGTTCTATTTGTCTGAATTTGCCACAATCCTTTCTCCTCTGTCTAGAAGATGTTTCTCATATAATCTTGTAGCAGGTTGCTTTGAAAGAACACTGATGATGAAAGAAGTTTAGAAAGAACACTGATGAAGTCACAACCAAACTAACTTGAAGTTCTCTATTTGAATTTAATTGAACGCTGTAGTAGTTATGATTATACTAAAAATATTCTTGTTTCTCAAAATCTGATTTTACTGGTTTAAAAATAAAATATTATATCTACCTACCCAAGTGTACACCACTGGGCGGTCAAAACATGATTTTTTCTGATAAACTACTTTATGGCTTCGGTCGCTAAGGCAAATATTGTTATATCTTACCCGAAGGATGCATAAGTCTGCTGATACTAGAAAACGCATTATGATTTGTTTTAATAGCGATATCCGATGTTTTTATTATCTCTTGGTCCACGTGGGCTGTTCAAAAATTCTATGAAAACCTCAACTGGGTGACTGCCCATTTTTTCAAACATAATACCAGGCACATCTGAATGTAAATATCGATGAGAATATTAAAACGTTGTATTATTATACATCTCAGTCATTGATTTACAGTTGGTAGTTAAAAGCTCCTCATAAGCAAGGATTTGTCTCTTCCCCTAAAACTACGTATAGTTAAATGCTACATTTTTCCGATCTTCCTGTATGGCGTGGAGGCCTGGACGCTGACGGAGACGCTAACGAAAAAACTAGAAGCATTCGAAATGTGGGTGTACCGACGCATTCTTCGTATATCCTGGACCGAACATGTCACCAACATAGAGGTACTCCAAAGAATCGGAAAGGAGAAAGAAATCGTGAATACAATTAAACAAATAAAGCTTGAATATCTAGGCCACATATTGAGACACGATAAGTACCGTGTGCTACAATTGATTGTCCAGGGAAAAATAGACAGTAAGCGAGGGCCAGGCAGGAGAAGACACTCGTGGCTCCAAAATCTGCGGAAGTGGTTCGGGCTCACATCGGTCGAACTATTCAGAAGCGCCGCAAACAAGATCAAAATTGCCATGTTAATAGCCAACGTTTGCAACGGACAGGGCACTTGAAGAAGAACAAGTGAATAACTACTCCTGGTAGAGTACTTTTATTTTAATTTTTATTGCTTGCTTTTATTACAGTTAAATATATATTTTACACAGTTTCACCGAAATACGAGGCGACTATAATACAAGATAGCCTGACTGCTGCAATACAGTCGCGTCCCCCCAGTGCGACAGAGAAAACTGACGCAAAGCAGTCCCTGCATCTCTGTCTAATGGCCGGGTTTGTCTTCTCATTTGTCGTTTAGGTCACATAGTCGATAAATCTGGCAAATTAGAAAGAGATGCAGGGACTGCTTTATGTCAGTTTTCTCTGTCGCACTGGGGGAATGGGCTGGTATTGCAACGATCAGTCTATATTGTAGTCTATGATCCCAGGGGTAATAAATACCTCGGGGATGGGGTAGAGATCAACTAATTTTGTAATGTTAACCTATGGTATGAAATCCATTAAAAAATGGAAGTGACGATAAACTAAATATCGAAACAAAGTTACTTGTTATTTGGATTGTAAAAACAAAAAAATGGAGGGATCTGTTTTGTTACTCTGTATATTTTTTATTTGAATGATTAAAATACAATCCTACGTTTGTCCTGTTAATAAATAATTTCACTTAATCCTTCCCGAGGTTTAGGTGTGAATAATAACTATAAACGCATGATGTATTTATAACAAGTCGTCTAACATTTTTATTAAAACTATTGTAAACAAAATGTTAGATTATATATATGTCAGTAAGTGGATAAAACTCCAACCCGCGGTATTTCTATTACACAGCTTACTACATCAGTTTTTTTATGGCTCTATATAATGCAACCTAAGGTTTGTATCCTTACACACGACAAAATTTGTATAAAAGAAGTTTAGCGATCTTACCCAAAGTTCCTGTTTAGATCCGTCCCCGCACATTGGCCAGATCTCGCTCTGTTCTTTCTCCAAAGTCTGTCGACGTTATGAGTATATTCGTATCCATCGGGGTTCACCAATGGTGTTATATACCAGTCTATATTCTGCATGTACTTTGGCTCTTTATCAAAACTGGCTACTAGATAGTTGATAATATAGGTTGTCACTGCAGGTGAAATCCATTCTCTAGCGTGGACACCTCCATCTATCCATACGGCTTTGTTCGATGAATTTCCGTTAGAGATTTTTATTAACTAAAATAACAAGTTTATATTAGATCGAGGCGTCTAGATCTTCTAATCTTTCATCTGTTACTCTCTTTGTACTATTTTATTAAAACTGTATAACAATTTTAGTAGGTTTAAGTATTTTTGAAATTAATAACGTTTTTAGAGCCCCTTTCATAAATGTGCAAGTCGGCTTGTAAACTGTTGTACATAGTGTCGGGCTTTATTAATTACCTACTCAATACGGTCTGCCAGCTATATCTTTAATTACCTTAATAGGTCGTCCTTGGACTGAGTGTCCAATAGTTCTCACCGTACAAAGATCTGGATATGTTTCTCCTAGGTAGTCGAGAAATCTATGAATATCAGGTATCTTATGATAAGCTCTCCATGTTAGACGATGACCTAAAATTTTGGTACTATTTTAGTGATTTACTTCTCAAGATATATTTTGGATATCAAAGCATAAACTATTAAAATTTTTAGATAAATATTATTTAATTATATAATGAATATATCTAATATTAGATTTAGTTATAGAATTATAGAATAGCGCTCTACAAAAATGGAATGCGACTATTCGCTGTGTGCAAGTACTTGGATACGAGCAATGATCGGGCGCATGCAGCGGTGAAATCTTGAAACTTTGTTAGCATATTTTATAAGTAGTTATTGAAGAAAATGGGATTTTGCAAATGCTGAGTTATAAATTGTAAAAATACAAAAAAATAGTAAATTCAACTTCAATCGGTTTCCAATTTCTAAGTATAAATTAATGGAAGGAGAAAACTGGAATTATATCATAATAAAGCAGAAGTAAGTAACATAACCCAAATTCTGCATTTTTACGCCGGATTTCATAATAAGTTTGACGTGAACGTTAAAGTAAACTTTAAGTGTAAATTGCAATAATATAAAGTTCACTTTAAAGTGTAAATTATGTCGATTTAAGTTTGTTTACAATTAAATTTTTTTTCAAATTTTTGGATTACACCGGATTACACCATCCAAAAGTTGACAGGAAAAGAATTAATTATTTAAACCAATGTAATGTGTTTCTTTGAAAGGTTTTGATGACAAAAGATACAGTTATGCAATTTAGTTTAAAATGAACATTAGTTAAAAAGGTATTTTATGATTTATTTTCTGATATTCAGTTTTTATTAATAATTTAAATAATAATTACTTATTTAATAATTAATTTTATTTACTACATACAATGTTTACCTTTTAATAATGTCATAACCACAGTTTTAAATGTCAAATAATGAAATTAAATGTAAAAAATATACTTACGAATTTTTACAGTTAAAAATCAGTTCAAATTTTTTTCAAGCTAACTATTGATATATATTACAATAATTATTGTATTAAATAAACAAGTTTACTTCTCTTTATTTGCAGCTAATATAAGACTAAAATATCAATAGTGCTAACATCTTCGCCGATTTATTCAACTAGGCGTCGCTCTTCGGAACTTGTACATAGCGAATAGAGGTATAGCATTATTAGAAGTGGTATATCAACTACTTGCAAAAATTATTAGGAAAAGATTCATGAAATATGAAAACAAAATAATTATCGAAGGTTAAAAACAAAACGTATGATTACATTATATTATTTATCGATTTTATAAAGGCATACGATTCTATAAACCGGAGATACTATATGGTGGCATGAGAATATTAGAAATACCAGAAATGCTTATAAGGCTAGTAAGAATGACGCTTACGAACACGAGAAATAGGGTAACGATGAAAGAAAGCTTTTCAAAACAGGTGACAGTTCATAGAGGTTTAAAACAAGGCCATCCTATATCGACGAATTTCTTCAACCTAGTATTACAACAAATCGTAAGAAGATATTGAATATGAGCATGACAATATTTAATAGTAAGAAACACTGCATAACATACGTGAATGATGGGGTGATCGAAAAAACAAAGATTACGGCAAAAATACGAGCCCAAAGATCTGGCTGTCTTGGTAACTTGTAAAAGAAAGTAGAGATCTAGGAAAGAAACATTTTCGGAGCAATATAGACGGCAGAGCATATTTAGAGAAAACGAACAAATTAAAACATATCTAGGATGTATGGTAAATTAATAATTACTGCAAAAATACGAGCTTAAAGAACTAGACGGTTTGGTCACATTATATGAACGCCGAAATATTAAACGAATACCGATGGGGCAGAAATGGGGAAAAAGAAGATTACGTCTATAAAAGAAATGTTTGGAAGCAGTAAAGCAAGATTTATCAGAAATAAGCGTGAGAGAACTGAAAGAAAAAACAAGGGCCGGAAAAAATGGAGGCAAATCCAACTTTTTGGAAGCCAGGACCTGTTAAGGAGAAGATATAAGAAGGACGCTTGAAGGATGGGAAACTGGCATCTGAATAAATGGCGGAAAAATAAACAATCTACGTTTTTCGGACGAAACAACCCTTCTTGCGAACAGCCAAGAAGATTTAATTCATCTCATACGACTGGTTAAAAATGTAAGTCAAATATTTCTTCAGCAGTTAAAAATATCGAAGATAAAAATCATGGTAGTGGATAGTAAATACACAATGATCCACACATAACCAATGACCAATAAGTATTGACCGGTTTGATGTTTGTAAATTCATACTTATATGATAAAATGATGAAACTGATAAAACGTAGATGACTCTAGCAAAAATAACTATAGGGAAAATGACCAAAATATGGAAAGATATCTAAATTTCAGTAAACAGAAGAGATACTTAAAATCTCAGTAAGTATTTCTAGATAAAGTTTAATGGAAGGACAGTGTGAGGTACAATGTGTTACGACTAAGTTCAGGAGATTTTTGTGTCTTTTCTGAGAACTGAAGAAGAGTAACATAGTTCATGTTGTTACATCTTGTTAGGTGCGTGTTAAGAAAGAATTATGCTACTATTAAATAGCAGCGATAAATTAATAAAATTATAGTGTGTCACATGAAGCACTGATAAGATTCATATATTCAAACATACATAATTTTATTGCTAAACTTACCCTGTCTGTCCTCAGTTTCTTCTAAGTGGGGTGGATTTTCTTCGTCAATAGCTTTCTGTAGATCTTGGATGACTACATCATAGTTTATATGTTTGCTCTTTAAAGTATCTTTCACCGTATCTAAAGAGTTCGGCTTTACTAGAAAGTCGAGACTAGTTCTATTGCCTCCCCACATTGAAATATCTAAAAGTACAAATAATAAATAATGAAACTTAAAATGAAGTAAAAACTTCTTTTTATAAAATGATATAAAATTTTATTAAAATTTTTAAAAATTATAAAAAATTGGTTTCTAAATTTTCACAACATTTTCGATCCTATCAGATTATCATCAGTGAAAAACGTATATAAAGTAGTTGGAACTAGCCACCTAATAAGGACAGATGACCCTTAAATTACATAATTTGAATGATGCACATTATAATTATTAAGACACTAGGTCGATGATAAGGGATTACATTTGTTAAGGGAACGTACTATTTCACAGTTCGAAAAATTATGTTAGGACTGAAGAGAAATATAATTGCTGTTGAAGAAATATTTTAAGGTTTCTATGTATGTCTTTCTCAGTTATCAGTATTAAAAAATCGCAAAGCTTATTGAATCTTTGATTTTGTGGGATCTGGACCTGTTTCTTTATTTTGATTTTCTCTTTTGATTTCTTTTCAATTGTGTCCAAATATACCTTCGATATATTTTTTTTAATTTTCAATTCTACCTACAACATAACACAATACAGTTGTCCTCAAATAAATAATAAATAACTACGAAGTTTTTTTTGTTTTTACTTAAATTTTTGTCACATCATCATCATTCTGGCTATACAACCCTGCGTGGGTCCTAGCCTCCTCAAGAATTTCTCTTTGGTCGTCTCTATCCATCGCCTTTCTCCGTCAAGCACGTATTCCCATATTTCTTATGTTTTCATCGATGTTATCAAGGATATCATCAGTTTCAGCAGTGGTCAAATATGGGCTTGATGATGATGATGATCAAGGAACCTTGTTCTAGGTCTTCCTCTTTTTTTCTGACCAATGGGTCTATCAAGGAGATTTTTTTCTAGCCAGGTCATTTTGTTCCATCCGCGTTACATGCCCTATCCATCTCAGACGTCCTATCTTAATATGTTTTACGACATCTGGTTCCTGGTATATTCTATAAATTTCGAAGTTGTATAGTCTTCTCCACACTCCATTGTCATTCACTGCTCCATAAATTCGCCTTAGTACTTTTCTTTCGAAACATCCTTTCGTCAAAAACATGTTTTCATTACTGTTTGTTGGAGTCCAGGTCTATGAACCATACGTTAGGACTGGGCGTATTATTGTTTTGTAGAGTTTTATTTTTGTATTTCTCGATATAATTATGGATTTATAGAGAACATTGAGCCCAAAGTAGCATCTGTTGGCCTTGCAATTTCTGCGGGTTATCTCTGCGGTAGTATTTTTTTCAGTGTTAAATACAAATTATACCAGATATACAAATTCATTCACTGCGTCGATGACGTCGTTTCCTATAACAAGTGGTCGTAGGATTTGTGGTTGCGTGCTTATTTTCATATACCTCGTTTTGTTGATGTTTATTATTAATTCTTTTAATGCTACATATGCTTTTCATACAACGTTTTCCGTTCTACCAACACTATTAATATCATCAGTATATAGACAAACACTGATTTATTATACATTACATACGTATTACTTTTTCCAGAGACAGATTGAACAGTATACAGGAGAGAGGGTCTCCCTGGCGCAGCCCGTGATTTGTTTTAAAACGTTCCCCTGAATTCGTACTCTACATTCAACTTTTTCAAGAGTTAGTTTTGTTAAATTTACCAACTGATTTGGTATTCCTAGCTCTTTCATTGCTTTGAACATTTCTCTTCTATTCACAGAGTCGTAGGCTGCTTTGTAGTCTGTAAATCTGTGATGAGTATCAATACATATGAGAGTGTTTTTTCTTAAATTTGTTTCAGGGTTGCAATCTGATGAATTATCGATTTACCACCTTCGAAACCATCCTGGAGCATTAAAAGATATCTCCTTTTTTGTGAATGGTGCAAAGTATTGTAATATTTCAATTATTGGGGAGGGATTTCTCTGTCCATATTTCTTTTATTAGCTGCTATAATGCCGATAGAATACACGCTAAGCTGGAGATAGATATTAGTGATTCCCAGTTTGGATTTCGGAATGGTGTGGGCAAAAGAGAGGCACTATTTTCTTTTAACGTGCCCATCCAAAGATGTTTGGATATTAATCGACATTTTTATGTATGGTTTATAGACTATAACAAGGCATTCGATAAGGTAAAACATGACCGACTTATAGAAGTACTCAAAAACAAGAATCTGGATGTGATGGATGTAACATTGATATCAAATTTATACTACAGCCAACGATCAAATGTGAAAAATGGAAGAGAAGTGTTAGAAGAAGTGGAGATAAGGAGAGGGGTCAGGCAAGGTTGCATACTGTCGTCATTATTTTTTAATGCTTATTCTGAAGAAATCATACTAGAAGCTTTGGTAAACGAGACAGTCGGCATAAAAGTGAACGGAAGTTTAATTAACAACATTAGGTATGCCGATGATACAGTCATAATACATAGCCGACAACTCGGATGACTTAGAAAGAATAATGAACAACATATTAAGATATAGTGGAGAATACGGACTCTCTCTTAACACCAAAAAAACCAAATTCATGAAAATTAGCAGGTGAACAATACAAACGAAATATTAACGGTAGGCGGCCAGCAGACTGAGAGAATAAAAAGATATACTTACTTGGGAATGATAATCACAGAAAATATCGATTATACTGCAGAAATAAGTGACAGAATTGAAAAACCACGTGCCAACTTGGTTGGAAACGTGGAACGTGAAAATGAAAAAGATTTTATGCAGCAAAGATCTGACATTGACCCTCAGAATAAGGCTAATTAAATGTTATGTACACAGTGTACTCTACTATGCAGCTGAATTATGGACAGTAAACCGGAATACAATAAATCGACTTAACGCGTTTGAAATGTGGACATTTAGAAGATTGTTTAGGATTCCATGGGTAGATAGAGTCACGAATACAGAAGTGTTAAGGAGAATAGACATAGAGAGGGAAATGGAAAATACAATAAAAGAAAGGAAATTGCATTATCGCGAACATGTGATGAGAGGCGAAAGATACAACATCTTGAGACTCATAATTCAAGGAAAAATAGAGGGTAGGAGAAACGTAGGAATAAGACGTGTTTCCTGTTGAAGAACCTGAGAGAGTGGTTTGGCTGCAGCTCAAGGAAATTGTTCAGAGCAGCTGCCTCGAAGGTCAGAATAGCCATGATGATTGCCAACCTTCGTCGCGGAGATGGCACTTAAAGAATATAATGCCATTATAGTATCGTGGCCACCTTCCTTATTTAGTTCAGCTGGGAGATTATCTCTTTCGGGTAATTTGCTTCAAGAATCGTTGATGGTTCCTCTTCTCTATCGTCTGTTACCCTTACCCTATCTCTTTCGTCTTCCAGGTTTTCTTCTTCGTCCTCTATATTAAGTGGCTGGTTAAAGTATTCCACCTATCTATTCCATACGTCTTTCCTTGTTGTTGATAGGTCGTCATTCTGACTTCTGCATGGTCTTGTGGTTGCCTTGAATTCTTTCTGTTGATGTTTACTTTCTTATAGAATGCTCTGAATTCTTTCTCTCTATTGAGGTTTTCTATATATTTAATTTCTTTATTTAATTGGTTTCGTTTTTTTCTTTTGTATATCCTCTTTTCTTCTCTTCTCTTTGTTTGGTAATTCTATATAGTTGTTCTAGTTTGTCGGGTAAGCATCTTTCTGCAGATTTCATTTTTTTCTTCTGTTGCATTCTTGCATTCATCGTCAAACCAATGATTTTTTACGGCCACAAATTTCTGTTCCTATTTCATAATTCGCAGCTGTTTCAATGACTTCCTTTATTCTAGTCCAGTAGAAGTCTATATCTGTCTGGCCTTCTTCATTTACATTTTGGTTCCTTAGCTTGTTAATGATGTTTTCCGAGTACCGTTCTGCGATTGGAGCTCTCAGATTTTGCACATTCCATTGTTGTCTATACATTTTATTTCCTTTACCGGTGATTGAAATTCTAGCCCTCAATGTTGGGGTTACTAGGCAATGATCTGAGTCTATATTTGCGCCTCTAAAACTTCTGCAGTTTATTACGTCTGTGTCACGTCTTAAATCTATTAAGATGTGATCAATTGTTGTCAATGTCTAGTTTAAATTCCATATGTTGTGTTTTCTAGCTCTTCTGTTTCTTTGTACTCTTCTGTAAATCTATTTAGCATTTCACATTTGCTTTATATTTTGTATTTTTTTGGTGTTTTTTTTGTATTATGTAGTGTATTTTTTCTTATTTATTGATTTTTTTATTGCTCTTATGATGGTGTAGTTACAAGCTGCCTCTTCAGCTCTATGGATGCCTGCTATTTTCGGGTAGTTGCCATTAGATGGATTATCTAAATTTTTATTTATTCTGCAAGCAATTTTTCTCTTCTTGCATTGTTTTAAAAATATTTTACCTATATTTTCTCAGAACTCTTTTTCTTTTTCAAGATACAGTGCTTTTCAGAACTATCCACCTTAAATAACTTTTGAACCTCTAATTTTTTGGAAAAACGCAAAAACACTTCAATTAATATCTGAAGGGGGAGGCATAATATCATATTTAAGGTTGCTAGAAAATGCACCCTCACACCCCCTGTATCAACCCTTTATTTTTTTTTAAATTACTTCCCCCTTTTTTTATTTCATATTTGGATTCTCCTTTTTGTACTGATTTCAGAAATGTATAATATATGCTACTTGAAGTGATTAGTTTATGAGAAAAGTAAATACAAAAGCATGAAAATTGGATTGAAAAAAAATTATTTTTTAACAATTTTATTGCACACATTTAGAACAAACATTTCACTACTAAAAATGTTTACAATAATTGTTCAAAATTACTGCCTTTCACTTCCATACAATAGTACAATCTATTTTGAAATTCTTCTCTGACATTGCTTAACACGTCTGCATTTAATTGTCGACATTCATCCTCTATTCTTTGCTGTAAATCATCTAGATATTCTGGTTGAGTAGCATAATTTTTGTTTTTAAATACTCTCGATTTAATTTAAATAAGAAGAAGTCTAGGGGTGTTCAATCCGGTGACCTAGGTGGCCAATCGATCGGCTGTCGTCTTTTACCTATCCAAGGACCGGGAAACGTTTCGTTTAAAAATTATCGCACAGGTAAAGCAAAGTGTGGAGAAGTTGAAATATCATGTTGAAATACAACCAAATCATCGGAAAGGTTATCATCATTTTCTACTATTGTTCTAACGATCAACCACTTGCCTATATAATTCAAGATACGATGCACCATTTAAGTTTCCAGTGATAAAGAAGGGTCCGATAATGTGATTACGTAGGATACCACACCATACGTTTAACCTTTGAGGATGCTGTGTGTGAAATTCGCGTACAATATGTGGATCACTCTCAGCGCAGCATCGGCAATTATATCTGTTCACCAAACCGTTTAATAGAATGAGCATTCATCCGAGAAGCAAATATTGTTTAACAATTGTGGATTGTTAATGATGCATTGTATCATTAATTCACAACATTCGGGACGACGATCAAAATCTTCTTCATTTAACTCTTGTACTAATTTACTTTTATATGGATAAAACTTAAATTTATGGAGGACTCGGAAGGCTGTAGAAGATGAAACACCGATTGCTCTGCTTATTGTTGACAGTGACTGTGATTGTTAAGAGTCTAAGTTAACTTGCCATAAAACAGCTACTTGGATTGCTTTTTTATTTACAAGTTCCTGTCGGTTATGTTTTTTATTGCAAACTGACCCTCCTGCTCTAATTTTTTCTGCATCAGTTCAATCACACACTTATGAGTTGCATGTCTATTGTGGTATGTTTCATTAAAAATTCTAGCAGCAGCTCTTGCACAATTATTATTTTTGTAGTATAAACCTACAATTTCGATTCTTTCTTGCAAAGTGTACACCATTTCAGCGATCAAATTGCACACGTATCAAAATAAGCTGTTACTTACAAGTTATAACAAATTGTCGCTATTAACCGATTAAAACAAATGTAAAAATGATATCGAAAACTTTTGATAAAACTTGAATAAAAAGTGAATTTTTTTGTTTCTTGGTTTTTGAAGGTACTACAAATAGTACGGTTAAATATTTAAAGAGTTTAAATTATGCTACAACCTATTTTGTTAGAGTCATTTAAGGTGAGGGAGATACTGTCTTGTTAACAGGAAAATTGTCTATCGGATAAACTAATCACTTCAAGCCAAAGGTATTATACATTTTTGAAATCAGTACAAAAAGGAGAATCCAAATATAAAATAAAAAAGGGGGAAGTAATTAAAAAAAAAATAAAGGGTTGATACAGGGGGTGAGAGGGTGCATTTTCCAGCAACCTTTAATATGATATTATGTCTTCCCCTTCAGATATTAATTGACGTGTTTTTGCATTTTTCCAAAAAATTAGAGGTTCAAAAGTTATTTAAGGTGGATAGTTTTATCTGAAAAGCACTGTGTACTATTTTATTTACTTTAGTGAGATGTATGTAAGTGTATTTCATATTATTCATAGATATTTTACTATTTACATTTATATTATTAACAATCAAGTAGTCAATCGAAGTTCAATAAAAAGTGTATGTTCGATCCCTTAAGATTCAATTATTGCATTAACTGAATGAAGATAACATTGCATTGTCATTTGTCATTTGTCATTGCAAAATGACAACTAACCGGGCAATAAATAATCAATTTTTTGCATTAATAATAATAATAATCGATTTTCTACCGATTTTTTTTGGTGTAATTACATCAGAACGATAAAAGTGAAAGATAAAAATATTTACTTACGGTGACCATCTCTGAGATTGGCTACCACTCTAATTTTGTCCACGTCATCTATAGTAGCTTTCCACAATTGGTTTCCGCTGTATGATATTCTGCCTTGTGGGAAAACTTCCGAGTTAGTGTCGCTGTTGTCTTGGTCTATACCATCATCGATATTTTTTAAATCATATTTGGCTTCGTCAACAAATACTGGTTCAAGATTGAGTGGAAATCCATTTTCTTCTCGAACTTCGAACGATGGAACTACAAAATACAAGTTTTTAGTCTTAAGAATAACGGTGGTTAACGAGTAAATATTCTTCTTTGGATTCAAATATTCGTCGGAATAAAAAATATAGAATTGAAATAGTTAACAAGATGGCAAATGGAAGTATTAATAAGACCAAAATCTATTAAAATTATTAACGTAATAAAAAACCACTATATTTACATTTTTTAATGATCAAAGTGAGATAAATATAATAACTAATAATGTATATGCGGATACAGCTCATTCAGAAAATGTCTTACATTATAATAATGCAGAAGGAAGAATCGCAATATTATACAGTATTGTCCGAATTAATGGAATCATTGAGACATTTTTCAATATTCACAGTTGCAACACTGTCCACACATTTACAACTGAAGCACACTTCTATGCTACAAAGAGAAATAGCAAGAATGTGTGGAGTGAGTCAGGGGGTAGAAACCAAGATTTTGAAGCGTAAACGAGAAACGGGATCAATGGATGTGAAAAGGTTAGGAAAATGCAAAAGAAAAAAAAACAGCACCAGCAGATAAAATATTTTTACTTCGAAAGAGAAAATTGGCCCCAAGAAAAACAAACCAAGAGCTCCAACAAGATCTAGCAGCATCAGGTGTAGTGATTCATGACGCAACTGTTCGGAAAAGTCTTTTGGAGAATGGTAGAAGAGCAATGCTTCCACTGAAAAAACAGCTTCTAACTGAACAAATGAAGAAATAAAGGCTATTGTGGACCAAAAAATACTCTAACTGGACTGTAGACGACGGGATAACAGTCCTATTTACAGATGAAACTCACTTTAGTTCAGGCACATCTCGTATTGATCAAACCGTAAAACATCCAGTATGAAAAATGTTTTGGGGATGTTTTTCATACATGGCGGTTGGATCTTTGGTACCAATCGAAGATATGATGAACAGCCAAAAATACAAATCCATGTTGGAACAACGTTTGGACACAGAACTCCAAAAATGTCAGCCCCAAGGAGGAGCAATTCTTCAACAGGACCCTGTCATAAGTCAAAGCAAATGATGGAATTTTTCAAAAATAAGATTAGTGTTTTAGATTAGAATTTAGAAGGCACTCAATTCTATAGAGGTCAATTCTTAGGTAGTATGGGATTGTGTGTATGCCCTAAATAAACTAGAAGACCATAGCAAGCTTACGGTAGCCTAGGTACCGGCACACCAAGATTATAAGGGCAATGAAAAAGCAGATGAAATGGCCAAACAAGGCTTATCAATGCCATTAGTTGGACCGAAACCCTTCTGCAGCGTTGCAAAGACAGTAACAAGAACGTCTACAAGGAAGTGAGTAGCTCACAAATCTCTCGAATGGTAGAGGAATTCACTAGGACAAAGACAGGCGAAACTTCATTACAGAACATTCGCCAAAATTTACGGCAGACCTAATAAGCAAAGACAGGAAAACAGTCAAAGCCCTAGTAGGTCTTCTAACAGGACACTGAAAGCTGAATAGGTACTTGAAGCTGATGGGATTATCAGATGATGATCTGTGCAGATTCTGTCACCTCGAAGAAGAAACAGCAGAGCACATTCTATGTTAGTGTGAAAGTCTCGCAAATGTGCGGTTCTTTGCATTAGAAGAAGGAAATCCACCGGCAAATAGCTACATGGAAGGTACAGTCTTGAAGCTTGTAGACTTTTGAAAAAAGGGTCAGGCTATAAAATGTTATCTATAGCCTGACTGGGGGAATAGGTCAAAAGGCCACCTATCTAAATATATCTATCTATCTATGCTTTAAAAACTCACACAACTGACACTAACCATGTTAACCCAGTGGCGTGCCCACTAGCTATCTTTTACTTTATCTTTGATACCTTTGAGTGTTGTTGAGGAAAATAACTGTCCTTAACAATATGAAGTTGCATTTATCATACACAAAAACATTGATAAATATCTAGAAATCTTTACCCCTTACTTCGAAATGGCGCTACTATAACTTAAATGTAAAAACACTATACTCAATCTAATACAAGCACATGCACATACAGCAGACAAAGAAGAGCATGAGGTAGAACAATTGTATGCAGGAATAACGGACATCACAAAAAGCGTCGAGAAACACCACATCAGCATTATACTAGGCAACTTTAATGCAAAAATCGGCATTAAAGTTGCCAAGAAAAAGTAGATGATATCACTGGAGGATACGGATTAGGCACACGCAATGACAGGAGTGATCGTCTGATACAACGTGAGCAAGAAGAGGAATATGTGGTATCAAACACCTGTTTTAAACCGCCTCCCAGACAAATCTATACATGGAAATCTCCCCAAGACATAATCAAAAGATTTTAAGGAATCAAATTATCATTTTATTAGGACAAACAAGAACAGCAATCCGACAACTTAACTCAGTATAATGGGATAGACACTTAAATATGACGACAAAAACACAAATTTATAAAACAATAGTACGAAGTATTATGACATATGTGGCTGAAAATTGGATTATAAACAAGAAAAATAAAAGTAAGATGTAATAGGAAGAATGACGAAATAAAGCAAAGAACATCAATAGAAACAGACATACTAACATATATAAAACAACAAAGACTAAAGTGGTATGGACATGTAAGAAGAACTAGCGACAGCAGATGGATAAAGAGATGGAACGAAGTAGACGACGCCATGAGTAAGAGAGGCCTAAACGATGGAGAATGGGACAGCAGAGAGAGATGGAAACGGTTGGGCGAGGGAAGGTAGTGAATACTGTAGAATCCCTGAATATATATATATATATATATATATATATATATATATATATATATATATATTCATTTTGCTTTGATTAATCATAGATTTAAATCAACTATCCAGAGTGCCAAGTGTCGGTCAGATAGCTCAGTGGGCTGTGCGGCTGCCTCTCATTCGCTTCACTGTCGAATGGTTCAGTGGATGTGGGATCGAGCCCAGCTCGGTGTACAGAAAACAAAAAGTCTAACGCAGCAGTTTAAAATTCTAGATGAATCTGCGGCTTAGACTAGAATATGCTGGGATCTGATCGGCCTATGGTGGAGCAGTACGGCAAGAGATAAGGGCTTGCGGCTCGGTGATACTCCTCCATAGACCCCTACCGGACGGGCTAACGCCTAAAAAACCGGATATATATATATATACTTCTAGCGGTTAATATGGGCGCCGTACTAAAACGGTATTATACTAACTCCAGGAGAATATACGCCGTGTATATTATTATCTGAGTAGCGCTTTATGTAGACTCCGACCAATACGTCGGATCAAGTGGACTCCGTAATAGGATCAAACATTTTTGGGATCCGTATATAACTTTTCCCGTACACTTCTTAACTCCTGCGATGTTGCCAATAATTGTATTAGTAGTAGATTTTTAAATTTTATAGGTGGTACATTTTGGAACCTATTAATATGAACATCGAGTAGCGTAATCGTCTAACAGTTTAAGAAACTCTTCTGTAAGATCTTTATAATTTTTCAATTACTGCAGTTTATGGCGTGTAATATTTATTTCATGAAGTAGTTAAAATTAGACTATAATAATTTATAATTTAATCTTTAATATTATATTTTTTTGCTGTCTAATTTCAATATGTTGATTTTTAATTAACAAAATATTTGATGCATTAAAGTCGCGTAGCTATTTTCACCAAACATTCAATTTTAAAGCTATTAGTATAAAAGTCTAAAAAAAAGTATAAAAAGCTAAGGAAATTAATATGGATACACACGTCAGTGTGCTTTTCTCAAGTCTTAAGTTTCTCGAATCCATCAATCATTCATTGTATTTCTTATACTTTCATTTTAATCCTCTCCAATCAAAATTTTAAAGCAGGTTTGCTCCATTAGTCCATTTTTATTACTTTTCGTCACTATTTCTCCTTTTTCATTATCATCATTATTACGTGGCGCTACAACACTGGGTGGGTCTTTGCTAACTACAAATTTTCTCCAAGTTGATCGATTTTCCACGAATCTGTAATCAAATGAAATGTTAATATTTTGAGATATAATTGGATGTTTTCTCTCCATTGCTTACTGAGACGCCTAAGCGGCATTCTTTCTTCTGTGCTAACTTCCTTCCATAAAAGTTTTACAAGTTTGATATATTGGCGTCTATGCATGTGTCCGATCTACCTTAAGCGATTTATTTTTCTGAAAAATATCGTTATAAAAGCTTTCTTTATTCAGTATGGGTTCTTATTCTATACGGATTTGTAGCGATATGATAATGAGGTTAAAACAGTTTTCTAATTATTTTTATTTCAAATATTCGTACTTCTTCCTTATTTTTTTTTAGTCAATGTCAATGATTCGCATCCATGTATTAAATTAGCTCTAAAATTTGAATTATGCTAAAAGTATTTAGTTATTGACATTATTATTAACAGTGATTATTTATCTAAGATATTTAAAGTGTTCCATATTTTTGAAATTGTAGTTGTTAACTTTCATATTTTATCTAGATTTATTAAATTGGTCTTTTCTGTTGATTCGCTTGTATTTGGTTTTCATTTCGTTGATTTTTCGTGCTCTCTTTACTTTATTGAAGATGTTTGCGGACGGGACAGTTTCTTATGAGATCTATGTCATTAGCATATGCTAGGAGTGCTTTGTACCTTGGGCCTTTAATGAATTACATCTTAAATAGGCGATATTTCCATTTTAGTAAGCTGTTCATTAATTTTTTGACTATTTGAATCGACAATCTGTATTTTATTCGACTGTTATAACACAGAGTTTCTTGGCGCATATTTTCATTCTTGGTTTTTTGTTTCCCGTATCATTATTACAAAGATTTTTCTGGAGATCGACATAGGGAACCCGGTGGTATGTACATGATATTTTCATAACCAACATCGAAAATTTGTCTTACTGTAAAGTCATAATGATTTTACTAGGAAATATAGTGTTGTTTAATAATAATAAAGTTCAAGCAACAATTCCTATATGCAATACCTTGGTATGATATTTCTGCTACCCGATACCAAGTAGC